AGTATGAAGATTGCTGCCTTAACATCAGTCTAAGTAAAAATATCAGAACACTTGATACAGGATCAAAGAACTGAAAAAAGGTTTATAATTGCTTGTCAATCAAAGATAAGACTTTTTGTTGCAGTGTCATTTTTTAATGAGTTTACAAGTTTGACAAAAGTCACAATGTGGATATAGGACATTCCAAATTCAATCAAATACTTAAATTGGTAACACTTGATAGTACCTCTGTGCATACCTGGGCTGGTACAAATCACTATGTCATACGAAGGTTTAAAATGAAAGTACAAATAGGAATAATTGCCAATTAACTCTGCTTATAAGGGTCAGTTCTGGGCTGTGTGCTAATTAACACTTCTAGCAGTGAGTCAGAAGACAATGTGAAAACTGTATTGATAATCTGCTGATAACATAAAAATTAAGATATGAAGTGATAAGGCAGAGTCCTTAGCTCCCCAGCACAGTAAAAACATCTATCTGAAAGGGAAAGAATGAAGATAGAGAGGGTGAGAATGCCTTTTCTAGAAGAAAATATGCCAGGGAAACACTTAATGTCATGGTTGATGATCACTTAAGAGAAAGTATTTTGGCCAAAATGACTGATGTGATTGTAGCACAGGGCAGGGAGATCTCAGGAGGGAGCAGAATGGTCATTCTACTTTGCATGGCATGAGTGTGCACTGATACCTGCCTTTGAGCAAGAATCCTTAAAATCTGAAGAGGGCTCTAAGATCCTAAAGTGTTGCCTCATGCGATAAGCTTTGGTGAAACTGTATTTTGTCACATTGCTCCCCTTTTTGATCAGTACCAGCAATGTATCTGGACAGAGTACAAAAAGAGCAATGCAGTAAGCAAGCGACATGGGGACCAACTAATGAGCGAACAATAAGAAAGTTTAACAGCAGGCAGCCGGAGATCCCAGTGACATTTTCAAGGTGAAAGGTTAACAACTTAAAGCTGTAAATACTCATGAAGGAGGGAGATTATTTATTGAATTGAAAGTGGAAGGTTTGGGAGTAATTGAAAAATACTGGGATAGGTTGTAGACTAAGAGTCTTCTTTTTGTGTAGTCTGAGTTCCTGACAGTCAGATCTATTAGTCTGTACGTTAGTCTGTCTTCTAAAAGAATCAGTGAGAAATATTGAGTTGCTATTTTGATATTGCAAAGAACAAAATGCTAGAAAATGCTCTAAAGGAAGTTCCTGTTTTGGCAAGAAGACAGCTTGGGTGATCTGGAATTGGTTTCCCATCATGAGTTCTATAAGTATTTTCTGTAATTTTCTTTTCTTCTGCAAAGCAGCATAGGATTCAGGAAAAATTTCAGCCCTGCAGGTGTCTGAATGCTTTTTCAGTGAGGTAGTGAAAGAAATGGAATTACATTCTGAGTGCTGGAGGCTTCTGGTCTTACTGTGTTCTATTATAGAAAAAAGCAATGGATTTGTGCTGTGCTGTTAAAAGATCCCATATTTTTGCTGTGACAGTTGAATATCATTATATTTACTGGTTCTTCTTGATACTTGAATGTTACTTAATGGTAGACTTAACCTGTAACCACAGATTTCCTCTCCGTCTTTTATTTCTTTTCACTTAAGTCATTGTTTTCTGCTGATGAAGACAGAGAAATCAAGCAGTTAGTACAGGATGGTCTTTTTTATTTGTTTAATGGTGGCATTCATGTCATATACAAATTGCATACAAGCATCTATGAGACGATATGATGTGAGGTTATTGAAAGTACTTCTGGAGCTCCTAGTTTCAAAGAAGAGTGAAGAAAAGTTTCTGTAAGTGACTGTATGTGCTAGATCTTCAGTTCAATCAGAGAGGCTGAATGAGCATGAAAGTGATTGATATGTAAAGTAAGGGTTTAGGCTGGAATGTTACAAAACTACTATCCAGATCTCATGCATGTATTCATCATGCTGTGAGCCCTCTTCAGCTCATTATTGGCAAGAAATCCTTTGCTGTGAGAAAATAAATGTATGGATACGCATTCCTGTGGGTGAATATGAAAGAATTTTTTGCCTGTCACTGGGTCTAGGGTCTTCTGTCCATGCATATTTGTCTCTCCGTGAACTCAGCTGTAATGACTGCCTTTCCTTGCTCTCATATGCCCAGTGCAGTAAGTGGCATTATCTCAGAGTTGGTGAATAGGATTGTTACCAGGTATTTGAATGAACCCTTTTGGATTTTGCCAGCCTCTAATAGGATGTTTCTGAGAGTCTGCATCGTGAGTAATGTATTTAATAAACCAAATTTCACGCAGTGCTCTCTGTGAGAAAGCAGTACTCAAGTTTTAGCATATCCTAATACCAGACCAGCAAACTTGATAGACACTTACCTCAACTGTACAAAACCATTTTGTACCTTTTGTGTCCTAGCTATTACCAATGTTAATTTAATTTATTTATTTATTTTTCATGCTAAAGCAGTACATTCATGTTTCAAGTAGCTTAGGCCTATGTTTTTAGTAGTCTGCCACTGGAACGCCTGATTGCTGATGAGAAAGAAGAGGAAAAACTCAAAGGCGTTTATGTGATTGAGAGGGAGTAGTGCAAGTCAAATGTTTTGGTTAAGTTTTATTATGAGGACTGTCTCTAGCAAAACATCTGCCATGACTTTACTATGTTTTGTGAGTCCCATGATGTTCAGGTTATTACCAAATACATGAGCAGCTTGGAATGTGAGTGGTGGAACAGACTTTACAGAAAACTCTGAGGGAAGCAAATGATGAAGCTACAACAGTGCTTAAACAAAGCTCTAAAGGTACAGAACTAAACCACATCTCCAAAGACACAACATAATTTGGGAGGAGGAGACTCAAGTTGTTAAAAGGTCTTGTTCTCTTTCCACAGCAAAATTTCTTTTCATTTGGTGGAATAGATTTGCTTGTAACATGTGATTGATTTTTGGCATAGCATGGGTGTTTTTTAATGGCTTTATGAAGAGATTCCATGATTGCTTTTCATAAAGCAAGCCTTCACAGACTTTGGCCAGATACACACCAAGTAAGAATTCACATTCGTTTAGTGAATTTCTTCCCATTATTAAACCTTTCCTAACAAACCAGTTTCAGTGCTTTATATACAGTACGGAATCGGTTTTTCAAATGTTAATGTCCCTACATATTTTGAACACAAAGGCAGGAATAATTATAGTGTTGGACAGTTGGTCTATGGAGACCACAGGTCTATCATCAGGTACAGCAGGTGTCTGCTGCAGTTTGATAGCTTTTCTGCTTTAAAGTTATCCTTTGCTTGGTAGCACGTGGAGACTGATGGCTGTTCTTTAGTACTATAAGAAAAGATGGAACAACAACACAGTATTGTCACGATATGAAACATTTCGTAGTAGTTTATTCACCATGTGATGCATGTTGTCATATCTATGACAATGAAAATAGTTGTGTAGCAGTTTAAAATCAGACCAGATATTCCTGAAAAACTAAAAGCAGTGATAAGTTTGAGAAAATTGAACAAATGTTCAAGATTTTTTTCTTTTTCCAGATCCTTCTGTACGTTTTCATAATACTACTGTACAAACTATTCCTGTTTAGAATAGCTTAGCTATTGTCAGTGGTATGATATACATCCTTGCCTCAACTGTAATTCCTGTGAGTAGGATTCTTGTCTCCTCTGACATGATTTCACATTTTTATATTGCTGAATTCATAACCCACACATGGCTGAGGTTTGAAGGCAACTCATTTTGCATTTCCTTGACTTTGAACACCTTTTGAAAACAAATATTTTTATTTTGGACAACCTGCTTATGATTCCTGGAAATGAAAAGACTGGGAAGAATTTTAAATAAAGATTACTACACATTTAGATAGGTATGTATGCATTTTCACATGAACGGGTTCAAATAAAAAAAAACATGCCATTGTGGTATGAATTATTCCAAAGAGAAATAAGAAGGTACTGAATATTTAATTGTTGGAAGTACTGCAGTGAATAATAATTTTGGTAGATCTGTTTTTCCTTGAACAACATAAATGTGATTCAGAAGAACATCTCAGTTTAAAACTAGCTAATCTTAGCATGCTGGGTTTAATATTCCCATTATATCATAGCAAGAATTAAGTAGAAAAAAAAAATATATGGCCTTTTATATAATATGAGATTTTGGTCATTTTTCCAGAAAAAAACAGACTTTATAATATGACTTCATGATTTGATCTGAATAAAGATGCACAAATACATATGTATTGGTGTTATAAATATAGTCCAATGTCACAGTTATCAGTGCTTTTTAGGCATGTGACAGAGGGTTATCCTTGAGATAGAGCAGTGCAGGTGAATTAAAGGGTGTTGAAGAGACTACATATTACTAGATACCAGATACCAGGAAGTTACCTGATTACTTTGAAAATTACAGTCTTCATGTGTGGCAGTAAGGAAGAAATCTGTTTTCTGAAAGTATGAGTGATGCAAAGGTTTCATCAATGTTAGTTTCAGATGTGGCATTGCTCTTGTGTGCTGAAGATGAGAGCACTTACGCAGGTCCTGCCAGAAGACTGCTGCTAAATCCATCACATATTCCGTAGATAGCATGTTGAATTCTTTATCCATTGCATTAGAGCAATAAGTCTTGAACTGTGAACTCCAAAGGATATTTCTCCATGAGAGCAGAAGTAATAAGTTAGAACATCTCCTCTCTCTGAGAGCAGAGAGCTCCAAAGTTCTGTATTTCTCCTGTGCATGTGTTTTCAGAAAAAAAGGTATAGTCATTGGCAAGCAACTGTGTGCCTGCCATTCAGATGTACTGTTGTTACAACATGGGTGCTGCTGGAATAGTGTCTCTTTAGGGGTTATATACTGATAAAAACAAGGGTGGATAAAGAGTAATAAAGATTAAATACAGATGATATATATTTAACAGAGCCCCGTTATATTAAGGTAAATAAGATCTGTTGAATACATGTTTAGGTTTAAAGGTATAAGAGCACAGTTTTGTGTAAAAACATCCAACTCTCCCTTGTTGTTTTTGTTTTGTTATAGTTGTTGTCTTCTGTGCTGGATCACATGAAGAAAGCTCTTCTTCACCAAATCCATCTCAGAAGCTGTCCCTGATAAGAAATAGCATGGTGTCATTGCATCAGCCTTCTAAATCAGGTACTACAAATCCTGTTCCTTACACCCTCCTTATTTCTACTTCTGAAAGTGCAAGATGCTGGCAGTCACAAGGACCCTTCACCAGAAAGATGTGCCACTGGGCTTCTGACTGGAAATGGGACAATAACTCAAAGTCCAGTGTAACCTTAAGGGAATCCCTCACTTCCTTATTAAAAAACAAACAAACAAACAAACATATATATAATAATAATAATAAAAAGAAAAATCTTCTCCATCAGCACAGTGAAATCCACCACATTTGGGTTTGGGAGTTCTTTAAACAATTCTCATTAGTGGAGCTGGTGTCTAGCAACTATAGACCAAAGTAGCTTTACTGATACAGAATGAAGTGTTTTTTTTTTTTTTTCAACTATAATTTCCTTTTTCTATGAATTTTAAAAGCCCATTGAGCTGGACAAAATGCATGTGTGATGAATTTGATCTTACTGTGTTGTTGGGATAAATTGAGCAAATGTCATACTTCATAAACACCCGAGGGAAAGAAGCCGGTTGTCATCTGTGGTCTGGAAATGTGCGAATTGAAATGACACCTTTCCATTTAGGGAAATAATCACAGAATCATTCCAGTTGGAAGGGACATCTTCAGATCATCTAGTCTAACCTGCCTGCTCAAGCAGGGTCACCTTCAGCAGGTTGCCCAAGACCACCTCCAGTTGTGTTCTGAGTATGTCTGTAGATGGAAACTGCACAACTATGGTTTCTTGTGTTCCAACTGAGTTTCCTGATTTTTAATTTGTGTTTATATTCTTTTGTCCTGTCATTGGGCAGTACTGAGAAGTGTCTGGCTTCCTCTTCGTTCACTCCTATCAGGTGTTTATGCACATTGATAAAGTCCCCCTGAGCCTTCTCTTCTCCAGGCTGAACAACTCCAGCTCAGTCAACCTCTTCTCACATATACTTCAGTCCCTCGATCATCTTTGTGGGCCTATGCTGGACTTGTTCAAGCAAGTCTGTATCTTTCTTGTGCAGGGTAGCCTAGAGCTGGACAAAGCACTTCAGATGTGGCCTCATCAGTGCTGAGTTCAGAGGAAGGGTCACCTCCCTCAGTCTGCTGGCAATGCTCTTCCTTATGCAGCCCAGAAGGCTGTTTGTTGGCCTTCTTGAGTCACAAGGGTGCATTGCTGGCTCAAGGACAGCTTGTTCTTACCAGGTCCCCAATGGTCTAGATGGTATTTAATTCTTTAAAGTGTGAACCACCTTCCTGACATTCCCTATGATTGTTCATGAGATTTCTTCAATTTAAGCTTTTTCAAATCACACTTGTAATACCTGAAAATATCTTCTTTGCTGATTGTAGTAATATAGATACATTTCTGTCTTATATTTTTCCTTCTCATTTCTGTCACAGTTTACTTTTCTGGGGTCCTGCGTTTGAAGTTCCCCACTTTCACAGGTGCTAAGCAAAGTTGGATATGAGACATCTGAAAGGTGATGCACGGTAGCATTAGAGGTTGCAGCTTCTGGTGTTCTCTTACGCTGCGGTCACGTGAGTGTACCCAGTTCTTTTGCACTATGATTTATGCTAAACATTAGCTTCTCGGTGATAGATCTTTCCATTGCAATGCAGCGCACGCTGTCTATTGCCAAAAATTCAGAGGCCATTTTCAACAGATAACAACAACTTTCCTGATTTACTTCAAACTCTTCTTATTCAGATCCTCTCAGGCCATAGGTTGTGGCAGAGGCATTATACAGTCCAGAGAGTATGGGAATAAGTTGCTTTTGAAGGAGAATGTTGTGTTTACTTACTTGAGCTGTATACTGCTTTGTTACGTGAGGCACATTCTAAGGATTAAGTCTGCATTGGTACAGTCCTTCCTACTGCAAGTGGGGATATTGTTAAGATTACTTTGTCATAAATATTAGTTTCAATAATCCTCTGTTAAATATATGCATAAAAATAATTTTTTTCTTTCCCAGGCTCCTACGTGTCTCTCAACAGCATGACACTGCAAGAGAGCAAAATTGTTTTCTGAGTTTTATGACCAATCAGATTTTAACTGATAAAAAATATTACTACTACTGCCAGAACTCTGTGGGTACTGAGCTAACCTGTCAAACTTTAATAAATTTAAACAATATAGCAGGCCTCTCTTTGTCTCAAACAAGCATGGAGTTTCTGATCTGCTGTTGAGACCCCTAAAGGTATTTTAATGGATCATCAAACCATAGCCTGAGAGTGTGCACAGACATCTTCCTCTGGATCCACCAAAGCCAGGAGAGTGGCTGGTGTCCTCCTTCCTGTGCCCTGGTGGAAGTAAACGCTGCGCACACATGTGCACAGGCACAATTTGCTACTTCAGCTTCTTGTGGTTTGCATTTAAAAATGATAGGCTGAACCACGCAGGAGACCTTTGCTAAGCTGTATGGATTTGGTGAGGTGGGCCGAGAAGCTCTTCAGGTGTTTGTCCCAGCTGATAGGTTGAGAAAGGCAATAACCTCCAGCAGTGAGCTGGTGAGACAGGGCTGGGGACCATGCAGAGGAACTGGAAGAGGATGTGTGTGTTCAGGTGGGAGATCACAGCCTGTTCCAAGCCCCAGTGACATGCAACCATAACACCCATGTTTCTCTTATGCACACTGGGTGGTGTGCATAAAAGCATAGTTATAGTTAACTTTAAAAATCAGGAAAACTTGCCTACTTTGTCTGTTGCAATCAAAAGGTGCCTTTTCCCCTGTGGCAGCTTCCATTTCACTTTTTTTTTTTCCCTGAAAGTTTAGTCAGAGTAAAATCAATCAATCTTCTGGAGGCGCCTTTTTTTTTTTTTTTTTTATTTTTTTTATTTCCTCCCCCCTTGTGTTGCCTGTGCAACAACCAGTTCTTGTTATATTCCTGACCTTAATTCTGTTCTTAATACTTGTCTTTTTTTCTTCCCTGGAGTAAGGCTACCGAAGGGATAAGGATGTGTCATTCTTGTGTGCAAGGTCTGAATACTCTCTGAATGTTAGGATCCCAAATATGAATGTTTACACTCTTACGGTTTCTCATATGGCCTGGGGGTCCTCAAATTATTACTGTGACATTATTATTAGTACTGAAAATAAATATAATGCAAGTTAATATCAGCTTACCATATCTATTCAGCTCCATTCTGTACGGCAGAGCTTTGTGCAGCTAACATCCCTTCGGGGAGCTTATATTAGATTGATGAGAGAACAGTGAATTACTTGTCTGGTTTATAATATGCTGATTATGAAAAATTCTGGCTAGGATGATCTAGTGTTCTCAGTGCTGCAAATGGGCTCTGGAGTTTGTTAGGAGGGCATCTATCCTGCTGGAGGAAAGCAAAACTGCTAGGGGAAAAAAATGGGGGGGGGAATAAAGCTTTCATTGCTCAGCTATTTTGGTTGAGACCCTAGAGTTTCCTTTGTTTCTCTCTGCCAAAATGCTAAATCCATACATTTTCAGTATCCCTGCTGCACTAGTTATTATTCCCATTCAGAATTTTATGTTCATGTGGGCAGACCATCCACTAAGGTAAATTCACTGTTGATACTGGTGGGAAGATGCTGATTTACACCTGTTAAGAATTTGCAGAGTTGTTTTTCTTTCAGTCATGTTGCTTCACCTGCCCAGTGCGGAAACTGTTTTTACTGCACAAGGTAAACTTCTTTCTTCCCTTCTGTTCTTCCATTTCTTGGGACAGAGAGCCCTCATACGCTGTATATCTGCTCATTCATGTCCCCACATAAGCCCTGCCTTTTTAAATGGGAAAAGCCTCAAAGAAAGCTTTTGTTTCTCATAACAGAAATCTCTTGTATCATCGGCTCAAGCTGCTCATGGGTGACGTCAACAGACAGTTTTGGAAAACCAGACTGGGTGTTATCTTCGGTTGGTGTCCTGGTGTCTCAGGACAGGCAGCAGCTGCTTCTGGAAAACAGTTCCTCCCGTGGAGATATTGAAGGTAGGCAAAGTTACAGTTCCCCCCTGACTGGAGACCTGCTTTCGCCCAGCACCAATAATATCTGTGGGCAGCAGCAATTGGAGTTGTCAGGCTGAAACCTTGCTTACACATCACTAAAAATACTGCCATATGCTGGTTCTGGTTTGCAGCTCGTAGGTGCATTGTCTGTGCCCAAGAGACTCAGTCAGTAAGAGCCATACCATGAATATTACCTGTATGTGTACTGCTTGGGTTGTATACACATGTACCCTGTATGCAGCCAGGCCCTTTATATACTCCCTTTGTGTATCTCTGTTTTAGCATAAGCTACTTTTGCTTAGAGACTGAGTTTTCTTAGGAAACTCAATCCTTTACAAGCCAGGACTGGTTCCTCATGATTGCTGTCTGACTTGCAAAGTCTTTGGCTTTTGTTTTGTTGGATGTCTTCACTTTGCTTTGTTTGGTTTCTTCTCCTCCCATTCCTTCTGTCACTTCTTTATATATTTCCCTCATTTTTACTTCAGTTGTCTTTTTCTTCTTTCTGTTATTTTTTAGTTTTTATGCATATTCCTCTGCTTCCTTCTTGTGATTTCTTTCCTCAAACTCATTATCCATTTGCTTATTATTATTGCTCTTCCATCCACACTGTGTGTCTCTTTTCTTTTGTTTTGTTTTTTTTTCCTCACAGGGGACATTTTCCTCCTGAACACCAGTAGGCTACCAGATAGATGTGAGTTCAGCCTACATAGCCCCATCCTGCCTGGGAGCGTGGACTCTTGCTTGCTGGAACTGGCCATATATTCACAGGATGCTGTTCCTCTCCTCCAGAGGTTCACAGCTGAAATCAGATATGTGGACACAAACAGAAATATAATAATTTCTCTGAGAGTTGGCCATGAGGAGGATGCCGGGTAAGACAATTAATTTGCAGCTGTTTAGACTTTGAATTGCAGGGTAGAATGGAGTCCCTCCAGGCCACTATTTATCAATGTCATCTTCCTTCTTGAGATCATTACTTCTGTTAGAGCAGAAAATAGAAGAATTGTCAGGACTGAAGTGTGCAGCTTCCTGACAGGATGTCTGTAATAGACCCAGGTTTTGTGTGTTGCCTTTGCAAAGAACGCTCCTGATGAGAAGTCATTCTTCCTCCCTTGCAATAAGAAGAGCCAAGAGTGGTAGGGTCTTGTGCTGATGGATGCTAGCATCATGATGCTTATGGATTTAAAGTGCACTCAGTCCAACAGCTGCCTTGGCAAAATGACTGATATCTCTAAGTATTCAAGAGGTCCTGTCTTTGGGAGTGAAAGGGTCATATTTGGAGATAGGGTTACTTCTGTCTCTTTTGTAATGTCTGTCCTTCTGTCTGCTAAGTTCAGGAGCATCCTCTTTTGCTTCATCTGTAAAGTCCAGAGAGGTGAGAAGAGGTGAAGACAAAAAATAAATAAATAAAAATCAGGGACCCTGGATCTTGTCCTGTGTTTTCTACTCTTTGATCTCCCCCATATATTTTTTTTTTTTTATTCCTGCATGTAGCAGAATGCAGTAAGGAGGAGAAATGGGTAAAGGGAATGAATCACAACAGGAAAAGGAGAAAAGTCCACGTGGCATCTGATTTTGCCATTTTCCATGTGCTTGTTTTTTCCTTTGCTGCAATCTGCCTTGTAAGAACCTGGGTCAGGCACACAACAGAGCTCTCTATTTCCATCACCTGACTGACTCCCATAGAGAATTTAAGCAATAGATCCCAGTTCTTGTTTTCTTTGAATTCTTTGGCACTCCCCAGGCTGCCATGGAGATCTGCAGCCAAGACTTCTGGTCAGCTGAAGAACGCAGAATTTGACTAAAAAAACTTACTCTCTCTCAGATCCCTCTCTTGCTCCTACTTTTAGCTATTGCTCACTTCCTTCCTGGCTACTCCTTCCCCTTCTTTTTACCAGTTTCACAAGGAATTTATTACATTTTCTGGGATCAATTTCTAACGTCCTTTTTCACCTATAAATGTCCTTTCTGCTTTAAATATTTGACAAGCCTGTACTTGCCTAAGCAAATGCAACCACAGTTCTCCCATATTAACTCATAAAATAACCCTTCTGATGTACCTAGCTGCCCAGAGCAAGCTTTGATCACAGTCATTGCAGTGCCTCTGGAATGAATCATAGACGTTGTTAAAGAGCTTATTTGGACACAACAAAACAAATTTGCATAAAATTATCATCTGTCTAAATGATGGCATTTGGACATAGTAGAATGGAATTAGCTTTGCTAGAATATGACCATTGGTATTACTTTTTCCTAGTGGGTGGAAATGAAGCACTGGTAAACCCAGTGGCTTTAGTTTCAAGAATTCAGAGGATAGAAGGTGACTGAGTACTGTTTTAAACAAAGATAGAAAGAAGGGGAAGGAACAAAGAATAGAACTATTAGGAACTATTTTAGGATAAATATCCTTCTTTTACCCCTTCTTTATGGGGCAGCTCTTTAAAATCTCTACACAATTCCAGAAAAATCTGTGTGCAGGCAGAACAAAATTTATTTCTACAGTGTTTGGGCTGGTTCTTACTAGGAAGATAGTCTGAAATGAACATTCCTTCTGTGATTAAGATTTTAACAGTATTGGTTGTTAAGAACAGAGGCCATCCTGAAGCATTCCCATTTTCCAGAGGGAGTGGAAGTTCTACAAGCTTTTGTGTGTTATTCAATCACAGCTGCACAATTTGGAGCAGAACAAGGAGGTCAGTGAGGAAATGACCTTGAGATAGATGCCTATGTGTAGTATGTATTTTAATTGTTAATTACTGTTGAGGGATTACCTTGAAATCAGAGTAGAAACGTAGAAATAGAAAAAAGGGTAGGTGGCACTTTTTCAGGCAATCAGGCACTCCAGCAAATCCTGCTTCAGTCCCTTCTGTCACCTCAACTCCCAGATCAAGATACACTTCACTATGAATTCCAGTTGCACCAGCTTACTTCATTGATCTGTCCTCTTTCTGGTTCCAGAAATATTTTGGTTGTATTTCCTACTTCAGGGTTCATCAGCTACACAGTTCTCAAAAGCTTAAGAGGTATGTCACTCATGAGAAAAATTTACTCTCCTGTCCACCTTACTAATTGCTAGGTTTTATCAATAAATCTGTTGTGTTGACACTGCTGCTCAGTTTTTTACACAAATGTACTGTAGTGAAAGAAAAAAGAAAAATTCAGGTACCAAGTCCTTTGGACAAGTAGGACAAGCTCATATTATTTATTATATACCACATGGGTATTCTCAGTTACTCTGTTTAAGGGAGATCTGCTGGGGAAGTGATGTGTTTGGAATTCTATATATTTACAGAAATATGTATAAAATTATGTTTCTAACGATCTCAATAAAGATCAAGCATCAGGAGTCTGTACTTTTGCTTGCAGGTCCAAGCCTTCTTTATCTGGCACTTGGCTCAAAGCTGTCTTCACTTTGCTATGGTTATAGCTGTGGTGCCTGTTCAGATCACAGTTAATGTCTTTCTGACTACTTTGCTTATCCCACTTTTTCTCTCATTACCATGCAGACCTAAAAACTAGTTACAGATGAAAATTCTTCCGAGTCCTGTGTGGTTTTGTTTTGAATGGTTTCACATCCTTGTTTTTATAGTTGACCACAATTACTTCAGTGTTGTCAGCCAAAATTGTTTTAATAAGAAGCTTGTTTCTTTCAGCTCTAAATACTCAAACTTTGATGAAAATAAAAAAGAATCATTTGGGGCAGGGATAATCTTTTCCATTTTCATGGTAGAGTGAGATCAATAAGCCAGGTTTATTTTGTTCTCTTTTATTTCTGAATCTGAATTATAAAGCAATGGCCATTGTAGTCTTGGTAGACCAAAAAATAAGTTCAAGACCACATGCACAAGTGGGTTGTCAGTTAGCCAACCACACAAAAGGATTATTACTTAGTTTGTCCTGTGTTCCCATACTGCCACCTCTTTCTTTGTGAGGTGGTGGTGCTGAAATGACCTGCCAGCTTCTGAGACACTTGTAGAAACTTACCATTTTTGAGACTTCCATTCTACTAATCTGGATTTTATCATTGACAAAAGCTATTTAACTTGTGCTGTCATCAGTAGAAGCATTGCCATATAGCTGATCTGAATGTCTAGAAACACCTAAGGTCATTTGGGATTAATAAGTTAGGTGTCCAACTACATAAGCCTTTGAAAGGGAATAGTCTGGTAAGCATCCTCAGAAAATGCCTAATACATACTGACAACAAGCACAGCCTTTTAAATTAAAAAATACAGCTACAAAAGGAGAGACTACCCAGCTGCTATATGACTGATTTTGAACATTAACCTGGGGCTATGATATACTGCCCTTCCTGCTTGTGTTGAAAGTGCATGCAAAAATATACTGGACCAAGTAAGAAAGATCTTGACCCTCTAGGTGGTTGGTAAGAGCAAGAGTTGCAGATGTGTACTCTTCTCTCATCTATCTGTTTTTGCATACAATGACTGGATTTTTTATTTTTTTTTACAAACTGGATGTTTGTGAAGATTTTTGAGCCATATGTGGAAAAACAAAGTAAAGCTTCTAATTCGTATGTTCACTGGCTGAGCCTTGAAACAGATGGAATACCTTTCTGCAATAACTTGTGTAGTGAAGCCCCACATTCAGAAAAGGTTTCAGCTTTCTTATTAGCCTTTTTGAATTTGTCACTTTTAATGAAGAAATTATTGTTCTTAATATTAAAGTCGTCTTAAAATGCATGGTCAGTTACCTATGTTGGAGATGGAAAGTCATGGCATAGAAAAGATTGGTAAGGAGGGGGAAAGACTTGTTTAGCAGAGGACACAGAGGCTAGTGAAAATCAAACATTGAAATTATAGGTTTGCAGGGTGAATCTTGAATCCACTTGCCTTAAGCATCAGGTTGCTTGCAATTCCAAATATTTTATCTATGCAAATTTCTCAAAGTGATGTCAGACTCTGACAACCCTTCTATACATATAGAGCAGTTTTAATATCTGTATTTAGAAGAGTAATATTACCTTGTTAGTCAAGATCTGGCTTGACATAAAATCAATAGTAAAGATATTGCCAAGCTTGGCTTATCTGAAACCCTGCTGCAATGATCCATCTTCTGCTAGATCTACAACGGGCTTTGTTCCTGATTCCATTAAGAAAATTAAGTTGGCTCTGACTAGCCCCTGTTTGGATACTGGGACCCAGCAAAGAGGGTATGATTATTTACAGTATTAGAAATCTTGCTGCAGTTGTATCTTGAGGTGGAGGATTTCTCTGAGGGGGATTCCTTGATGATGACAAGACCTAAGTATTCTGGGTGATGGAAAGCTACTTGTCATTTTTTTGCAGTCTCTGGATGTTTTAAAACTTTTCCAAAGGTAGTATAAACACAGAAAATTTCAGTACTAGAGATCTTTCAATGTAGAAGTGGAATGTTTCATGGAACCTTAGGGCTCTGACTCAAAGCTGCTGCCAGTTCACACAAGTAGTGGTTTAAGGTTTCCTGAACTCAAGGGTGCAGTAACGTTGGTGGTGTCTCGGTGGAGCTGGAGCTTAGTAGTAGAATAATGCCTCAGTGCTTAAAAGGACTAGTATGCTTAATAAGTAGATGCAAAAGATTTAGAAACTGTCCTTATCTTCAATGGCTTGTTGAATCAGTTTGTTTAAGGCCCATTGATTTTTGTGGCCAAGTGGATGCAATGGTGTGATGAACAAAGCTTTGTCGTGGAGCAGAAATTATATGGTTCTGGGTCAGTGCTGAATGCTCTTGGATGTTGTGCCACAGCACGGCAGGGGGGATATATTTTTGTGTCTCAGTGCTGAGTATTCCTAAAGATGTACTGTAATGCAAAATGGAAAAAAAAAAAAAAAAAAAGTCATTCCTTTGCTGGGTAGTAGAGATAATGCAGTTGTGGTTCAGGACTGGAAGTTTCTGAAGCTGAATTAAATTATATTGAACTAACGAATATGATATGATGGGACAGGAAACAGGAAAAAACAGGGTCACCTTGATAAGAGGAGCTCAACTTCAGTTGAGTTTAGGGTATCTGTGGGTTTTTGTGTGTGTGTACAAGAGTGATAGTGGAACATAAGGGGTGGCCATAGAAGGGGGAGTAAGGAATTCTCCCCAGAAGAAGGGTGTACAGCTGGTTGTGGTGGAATGACTGAGTAAGGTGACTAAGCAGTTACAAGCAAAAGTGAAGAAGGTGAAAAACAATTCTAATTGCTTTAATTTTTTGTGCAAGTTGTCAATTAGATGGTCTGCAATTTTCACATTGTGTCCAGTAGACATCTGGTTGTTGTCATCCAGAAGTTGCTTTCTAATCTGTTTCTGGTGCGGGGTGAGGGCAGATGATCATTCCATGGCAGCAGAAAGCATTTCCTAAATGAAAAAATAATATCAGGAGCAGAGCAACATACTTAGCAACATATCTTGACACTGTGGGGGGAACTCCTTCCAGCTACTGGTGCTGCCTCCTCACCCTGCTGGCACTGACTTAGTGACACTCATCCAGGGTGCCAGCAGCGACATCAGCAGCATGTGGGTTTTAGATAAATGTGTCTGTCCGGTACTCTTTTCAGAAGAAAGCTCACAGCAGGGATTCCTCTGTTCCTATCCTTTTACAACCCCTTTACAAAAGTGTTTTAAATGTGTTTTATTTTCCTGCTACCATGAAGTGGAAGGGCAGGGTGGTTTTCTTTGTTGTTTTATTGTTGTTTTTTGTTTGTTTTGTTTGTTTCCTTGTTTGTCTGTTTAAAAAAAATGTTAGGAATTTTGTGGTTTTATTTTATTTATTTATTTATTTTATTGACACTTGGGTACCCTGACTTCTGTCAAACTGATTTGAGTGAGGTACTTTGAAAATTCTTATTAGGTGTCTCTGTCTAGCTTTCAGTGTCTAACAACTATCCTTACAATTAGAGTATGTGGCACAATCTTTTTCTTAACTGCCTCAAGGGCATTACAGTTGAGAAACCTTTGCTGTCTAGGAGTTACGACATTTGTTCTGTGAGGAAATGCAAATTGCAACAATAGGATTTGAGGCAAGGATAACTGAATATGAGCTTCTTAGGCTGAGTATCAATTGTTTTAAATGGACTCCTGTTTGTTTATTGATCCTTTCCCATCTGAATACCATTGCTTGTGTTTGGTACAGCATAGAATATATGCTAGATACTCCATGGACTCCAGCATGCTCTGTGTACATCTGATAGCTCTTTGTTGTATTTTAGGATGAAATGGAAATCCGTGATGGCCCAGGTCGGCCGTATAGAAAGACCTTTTAAAATCACCTTGCTGTATTCAAACTGTGGAGCACAAGAGGTTGGACTGCTGGCAGTGGGCTCCTTGAAACTCAGAAACTGCTTTCATGGTATGTTGCAATGCAGTCAGGTTTGGAATAACCAAATGCAGTCAGAAGAGAGAGCAGCATACTCGCCAAAACTGATTGGTGTGATCAGTCGGTCAGATAGGACATATGTGAAAACAGAATCAGCTCTAGAGTTTCTGGCAGTGCTTACCTCTCAAGAGTTATATTTGCATGTGTTTTGTGTGTGTACACACATGTACATGTACTCAAAAGGAAGGGCTGAAGTGCAGAATTGTAGAACTGCTTTTTCAGGTTTGCTTTATATTATATTTGTATGAGAAAGTAACAGGGCTCATGCTGCATCCTGCAACAGGGATGGAGAAAATATCTGCCTAGATTATTTTAGTATTTACTATTTTTCTTCCTTAAATAGCAATTGTAATAGTATCCTGTGTCGCTTTTCCGTACTGGGGCTTCATCTTCCAAATTTATAAAGAAAAGAAACATTGATCTTGCCATCTGTGGGGTCTGTTTGCTACTGCCTGGCTGAGAATTTCTGTCCAAAATGTAAATAATTAGAATGTAATTGTTTTCTCCAAAGTACTGAGTGCTCAGCTCAGAAACACTCAGTTTTACTTGGCATTTTCAATTCTGTTACCAATGCCATGCAAATGATCCTCAGTACCTGTGCAGAACCCTGCTAATGTCATTTAGGCTTCTTGGAAGTCTGTTGGTGCAGGCAGCTTGCAGGTTGGAGACATAATCATCTCCACTTCCTGGTTTTCATCCATTAATATAACGCTACTGCTTCTGTTTTGCAGACACAGTAGAAATATCTTTGAATCTGAATGTAAAATCTAAAAAGCTTCATTTGTTACGAGAGAATACTGGTTTCACAGAACAGTTTCATTATATATCGTGAGACTGGTTTTGAGTATAAGAGAGATTTAATTTTACTGCAGTCAATCTTTTGATTTAACAAATAGTAAATTTTAATGCAATGTTTTTGACAGTCATGGAGTTTTTGAGGGGATGCATACAGCCTGAAGCACTATGCTTAACCTTCAAACAATCCCTAAATAAACTGGCACATACCCAGCACAACACAGTGCCATGAGGAAATACTGTTTCAGGTCTCTTTCTCTATACCTTCTGGGATTGGTTCTCGTAAGTTTCGCATTATTTCCAGAGCAGTAACAATCCTGGTGGAACTTCTGCACAGAGCTCTGCTAAACAGGAGCAGGCGCAGAAGAGACCTGCACACACCTGCAGGTCAACAACTGATCTGCGCACACACATCCACAGGACAGGCTGGCTACACTGAGTCATGATTTCAGGAAGTATCAGACTTAAAAATTGTATTTAAACCTGTTGCTGGATACCTGCACAGTAAGTTAAATGCTCCTGGATTGTAGCTGACTTCGCTAGTTAAGGTGCATGAGTAAAGGTCCTATCCACTGAGCCAGACTGCTGGGCTGGATGCCACAAAGCCAGTGCAGAAGTGTGCCCGCAGCACAAGTATTAGTTAACCCTGACTCTTAAAAGGGTATAACAATGTGTCCATCAGGACCGGAGCTAAGTGGGTATCACTGCCTCCAGCAGCAGAGTGTCATGCAGCCTGCTAAAGCTGTCGGACAGATGCACAGTCACGTGTGCAGAACCAAGGAACATACCATAGTAGGAAACTGCAGGATCCTTAGTAAAAATAAAATAAAAAATTGACTATCTGAAGATAGCACAAACAGCAGAAGACAATGTGTGCATGAAAGAAAAAAGAATAATGAATTTGGTCTCCATGAAATCCAAGACAATCTGGGAATCTCATGCTGGATAGAAACTGCATGGTAAAAAGTACAGGTAAGTATCGTTTATCACCCAGAGGACACTTCCTGAGCCCATACATGTGAAGGCTGATACACATGAAGGAACATATACGTTCTGCCAGCTCATCTCAGAGTTTCATTCTCCTTTTTCCTTTAGACAAAGAAAACCAAGATCTTTCTCTATATGACAAAGGTTCAGCTTTCCCTTGCCTTCATGGAGGCTGTGTTAGCCACCTACAAATCTGTGAATTCATCAGTGATTGCCCTGCCAAAGAAGTGGAAGCTGTGAGGTGTGGTGAGTATGTAGTGTGGCACTTCATGGTAACCTTCATCCCCTTAGAACAAACAATTTAGAACAATATGTTAAATTGATTCTGTTTCTACCTTAATTCAGTACTTGCCTCCTCAAATAATTTAGCCTATTTTCATTAATTTGATGTTAGAATTCTATTTTTTTTTTTAATTACTCCATATTGGATAATTTTTATTTATTTATTTAATATTGCAGTAACTAGTTCAGCGACCTGCCTTTCATATGTGTAAATCTTATATAAACATCTGCAGCTGGGTGAGAAATTCTTTATGGACCCGAGGTCTGAACCTCCCTTTAAGGAAACCTCCCCAATCAGGAAGACACTGATCATTATTCTCATGCCAATCACCGACACAATCAGTCATAAGTCTGTCCCTCCAAGATCCCCATTCAGAGCTCATCTTGCATATCACTACAAAGAAATCTCCTGACTAAGTATAAGTACATGCAATGCTAAGAAACATCATTTAGCTTTTTTGCAAGTATGGTGGCAGAGATCTAGAATAATCTGTTGATTGGCCAACTTTCACTGAACCCTTGTAATGTCTGAAATTTCATATGCAGCAGGGTCTTTAAATATTTATGGAGTGATTTGCCATTCTAGATTGCAGGAGCTGCTGTTTTCCATAGTACCTAGAGCAGGACAGAGCTGCGAAGTGTCAAATATCTCCAGTAACAAAAAGTGTTGACATCCTGATGGTGTCTGTGGAAATGAGACCTATTAATATTTTAACATTGAAAAACACTGTGGCATAAATGGGGTAGCTTAGACATCCATAATGAATTTTGACTTTTGCTGCAGTTTGTCTTTTACCATAATCAGGTTTCTCCTATTTTCCTACTTTTTCTTGTTCTCCATTGTAGATAGTCTCCCAGAGGGCTCACATTGCTCTTTTGAAGAGGGTCCATGTAGCTGGACGCTGAATGAAACTACAGCATCTCCTTGGTCTATCAGGGGCTTTACTGAAATGATTCAAGGTCATTCATTTGTAGGGTCTACCTTGCAAACCACTGAAGGTAGGTTCCTCATAGTTCTCTCTCAGTATGTCCGCATGTGTGTGCATGTGGACAACAGTCTTGAACTTAGGTGTTTCTTTGATTAGTTTAAAATTTTTGGCACCACCCCTTTCTGAATCAAATTTAGCATCGGTATTATCTAGACTAATTTTAAACGTGGCTAAAATTAATTTTTGATCATTTGGAACTTAATATGAAACGTTCTGCAGCAAAGTTAATATGAATCTGTAGGAGTCTAGGATTTATCTTCACCTTCAAAAAAAACTACATGATGAATTCACTCTTCTCTATATATACCTCTTCTCTCTATTCTCTTATGAGCTATGCAATTGCAGTGTACTTCAGCAGGAACATGATAGCTGCTGCATCACAAAGTAAAAATTGACCAACAGAACTAAGCAACTTGTAGAAACACAAATCTTCTGGAGACTCTTGTCAGATTCTGGCAGTGGGTTAGAAGGAGCATCACATGTAAATCTATCCCAAGACCAAGTGATAATACATATTCTGTGCTATAGAATACCACAGGAAAAAAAAATAAAAATCCCAGAACCATCAGCTTGCTAAATAAGGATGGAGGCCAGACTCTCACATGTTCAGGTTTGAAGACACAAATATTCAGTACAGTTGAGTTTTTGGTTCACAGTTCCCTGTCAAAGTGAAGGGCATCCATATGATTGTCCTGTTTGTCTCTTGAGGGATTGTTTAAACTGTTCCTATGAACAAAGACCTCAACTAAGTAGTTCCAGTGCACAGTTTGTCTCAGCAAGAGTCATTGATGCAAATGGTGTAAGAATTAGGGTTGATTAAAGAGCACAGTGTAGATTGCTGAGAACCCTTGTATGGGAATATACTTGAATGGTTTCTGAGGTTTATGCACTCCTGTTCCAGGGAAGGGTTTGGGAAGTTTACTTTTGTGCTTCTGAAATCCACAATGAATGTTCATTTTATCTCATTGTAATAGATGTGCTCTTAAGACATGTTTCTACTATTCTCTCCTATTTAACGTGCTTCAGCACAATGATGTTAGTTTATCAAGAGGGTTTTATGTTGTCTTTTTATAAAGCAAAACGTTGTCTTTTTTTTTTTTTTCCTAATTCACTTTTCTGTTCAAAGGACACTTCCTCTATCTGCGAGCAGAGAGCAATCACACAAGTGGTATGGCCAAGGCTTACAGTACCAGTTTACCAGCAAGTATTACCACTGAAGATTACCAGGTATATTGCTCTGTCTAAGTGCTTTTGTGTAGGTAATCCTCAGGCTGCACACTGTGCAATATGCCCAATGCATAAAACAATGGAAGCAGAAGAGCAGACTCTACTGCCTAGCTCACTACTTGTAGAATGCCAGAAAAGAGACATGAGGGGCATTCCCTTTAAGTAAAAGCAGAAGTGCCAAATCAACTCCTAGATATGGAAAACTCCCTTGCTTAGTTGTACTGACCATTCCTCTGAAGTGAACCCAGCACCTGAATTGTGTGGGGTGTCCTTGGTTCATGGGAGAGGGGTCTCGCTATCTGCGTGCATTGAGCCATTCAGTATACATGCTGATGAGACTTCTCTTTTTAAATTCTGTACCACTTTGCTAGGAATTAGCAAACTTGACAGCTTCCCTGAGAACAGGAGCATGACGTTTGTGGGGCATTAGACCTTCCAGGAATAGATGGGGCTAATAAACTTCTGTTCACGTTCTTCAGAAATCTCAGAACACGAAGGCAACCTGGCATGTATAAAATCACGTATCCTGCCTTCAGCCCAGATCCCTACAAAGTATAAGGGGAGATTCAGGATGCTGTAATTAAAAATATTAAATAATACTGAACTCATAACACTTAGGAAAATTAAGTTGCAAGTTTGAGTTGGAGTCCGGCCCTGCTAGGGGAAAACAGAAAGCTTTGATGCCTCCTAATTAGAGCTGGCAACAGAAAAACAGTGCAGGTGCCAAAAATGTAGCTTCAGCATTTATATTTGTTATCCAGGTCATTTGCTGGGTAGTTCCAACAAAATAAAATGTGCTTGGAGCTAAGTTTACACAACCAGGAGCAGTTACTATTGGTTATGGTTGTCATACAGGAGATCCAGAGCCATTCTTTCTTTCATTGACAAAGATTTGAATGCACATTTCAGGAGCAAGGAACTTCCCTTGGTTGTGCACATGCATGTGCTCCCTCTCTTGCTGGTGTTCTCAGCAGTTGAGTGCTCACAGCAGCAGTGGAAATGGCATCTCTTATCTGCGGCAAAATGGCAGTGGCTGCCTCACAGAGACAAAGAGTTCTGCTTCAAAATACTCTTTGATCTGGTAACCAAGTTGCTTACCTGCCATATGGGTGCTACGGTTCAGGTGGTGTCTGTGGCTTGGAGCAAGTATATAGACTGGAGTTTTTTGTCTGTGGAGGCAGCCTAATTGCTCATTTCCTGAGCATTTGAGGCAGGGCCTCTCTCCCTTTACAGTGGTTTTGTGCCACGTAGTGCCTGGGTATGGATTGAGGCACATCAGTGCAACACATTAGGATGGATGGTTAAAATGGATACCTTAAAAGATGTGAACTGTTTCAACACCTTTGACAGGAAACATTAGGCTGGTGGGAATACTGAGGAGAAATGTGTTTAGGATTGCTTTCCTGCAATAACCCAGCTCTAGAAGAAGTATTTAATAATAAAGCATTTCTTGATTTTAAGCCTGTGTTCTGCTCTACTAACAGTTGCTCCTGAAGGAAATCCAGACGGTGTCTGAGGCCATTAATATAGACATTAGTATCTGCTGAACAGCTGCCCAACAGGAATGTCAGTCAGGGACTCCACTAAGAAAATTCTGTACCAGGAACAGTGATGAGTCACACAAAAGCATTGGGGGCCTTACTGTGTGTTATTAAACAGTTTGACTCAGAATCAAAGGTTTGGTGTCTCAGATCCCTAAGGAGGGGAGTAATAAATACTGCTCCCTTCTTATCAGAGGATATCATACTTTTTCTGTTCTTCCTCTATTACAGATCCAGTTCTCAGTGCATGTTTTTGGCAGCTACAATGGTACTGTCTCCTTCTCTGTCAGCGAAGAGATAAATGGAGCTCCAATAACCTTGCCAATGTGGGAAAGAGCAGGGAGCTGGAGTGATCACTGGTTTCTAGTCACTTTACCAATGCCAGTGCTTCAAAATCGGTAAGAACACCAGCAGCAGCACCCAGGGATATCCCTACAGGTTTAGTAAATTATTAGTGTCTTAATTGAGAGGCATGACTTTAATTCTTGCCTTCTTCTAGGACCATTTCTAATGACAAAATTAGAGGAGTACGGCAATTTTGCTTGCTGAGGAAGTCTTCTGTCATATTTACATATCTTCACAGGCAAATACAGCTTAGGTCAGCACTTTCATGCATTTTCAAATGATGTTTAGGTTGTGCTTTCTCAGATTGATAGAATACACAGTTGTGCAGGCTAAGTGCGTCCAGTAGGGAAACAGGTAAACTAGCAAAAACTGCACTCTGTGTTCCTACAGTAAAAGCAACCACATGACTCAAACAAATGACTGTGGTAAAATCAGTTCAGCCAGTACAGCTGTCTAGTCTCGGGACTGTATCAGTGCAGCCTACAAAACGGAGATCGTTCATTGCTACATCACTTATGAAACAACCTCAGCAAAAGACTGTGGCCCAAATCAGACTTCCACAAGAGTGTGTATCACAGTTTTGGGTGTAAAAATATAGCACAACATCAAATGAAGTCAAATATTGAAGATTTCAAGAATTTCTGCCCAATCGATTTTTAATCATATATTTCTTCTCCATTTCATGCCAGTCAATTTCAAGCTATGAAATAATGTTGGCAGCAGGTTATTTTTCAAAACACAAATGATTTTTAAATTGCTGCAATCTGTTTTTTGCATCTTCCTCAAGAAAGCCTGTCTCACATGACACTTTAGACCAAAAAAAATAAATAATAATCAATCTCAAAGTGTATGCAGTGAATACTATAAATGAAAAAAGATCTACCTAATATTGGCAATAAAATAGTGTCTCAAAACTTCATGGATTAGAAGGTATGAAAGGATTGCTTGTAACTTCAAATGTTTCCCACATCTTTTTGTAAAAGGCTAAAAATTTGGGTCTGGGAGTGATAACAATTCAGATCCAAGCAGCAGTTAAGTGGAGAGAGGGTGGGAGAATGTTGTTCTACCCTTTTGCTAGTTTAATTTCATTATTACCTTTGGTCTCAACATTACCAAGTGTTCACCATATGCACCTTTGTCATGAATTATTCCATCAGAATAGGGTAGGTCTGCAAGCTGGCAGTGTAATTAATATTATTGTCTGGCAGTCTGGAGCCTGTGGGTAAGCATATGTTTAGTTCTGTGTATTTAAAGTTTGACCAGTGAATTTGTCCAGAATAGCTTTTTTCCTCAGGGTTTTTCATCTGGACCTAACCAGAGCAGAGTCTTAAGGGCTCTTCAGAGTTGTTAAAGAGCTTCTGCCTCCTCTGATAAATGGCCTCTTATGTTTGTTTGCAAAGACTGACTTCTGTATCAGCCCTCAGTTCTAAAGGGAAACAGATCTTCTCTTGCTATCCCTTCCATCCTGCCACAGGTTTTAGGGAGCACTAGCCAGCGCTCCATGAGAATAAAATGAAATTCAAATCCTGCTATGTTTGAAAGAGTTGAGCACTCAGACAAAATGAAAGAATCAGTTAGGTCATGTGTTTCATGTATTATGACAGTCTGTTTCAAATAGTTAAATCTTGTTTCACCTTGTGTAACCTTCTTGTATGCCATTTTCAAGCAAATTTAAGAAGTGGGTAATTTATCATGTGACACAAAAGTGGTAGTTGCTATGGGTAGGGCTGGAACAGTTCAATCTAGCAAGCAGGCCTGTGCTACCTGAGCTAATGAGGTGAGTGAAAACCATAATAAGTTGTAATTTGGTGCTCTGATCTCTAACAGAAATAGAATCCTAGAATCATTCCAGTTGGAAAAGACCTCTAGGATCATCTAGTCCAACCTTTAAACTAGTACTGACAAGTCCACCACCAAACCATGCTACTAAGTTCTACATTCTTTGCTGGAAAGTTTTGCAGCTATTTGACCCGAGCGAGGAAACCCTGGTCTTTGTACTCCCAGGACACCTGGTTGCATCCCAAGCCTCTTGGATTGTTCTTGCCATGCTGCTACTGCCCTGTCTCAACTTCTGTTAGCCCTCAGTCAGCACTCTTCCTTGTTTTTGTACACTTGGTCTCTCTTCCTTCTCCCCCAAGCTCTCATCTGTGAACATGTTTTACCTGTCTCACACTTCCAGTCCTAATCTGTCTCTGACTTCCTCCCTGGTTCTTGCTTCACTCTCTTCCAGCAGGTGCTATGTCTCTATGTGGCTTTGTACAAAGCCTGACTCCACTCCCTGCTCTTATGCTTCCTACTTTGCCTAGTCATCTCTTGCACTCTTTTATTTAGATGACCCCAAAATTACAGTCAAGGTTTATTCCCAGTCTTTCTGCTCCCAAGGGCTACTTGTTTTTGTCTGAAGAACTCAGGCCCAAACCCCTTGCACATTTTTATTTCTAACTCCCCTGCTGTCATATTCCCAGGGAGCTCTCCAACTTCTCCAAGATTCCACCTTGTTCACTCTGTAAATCAGTTCAGTCAAGTTCTTTCTTCTGTTTGGCCAGATTCAGCAAAACAATGAATGGTTATGGGAGAAAACACTGGATGACAGCCAGTAGCAAACTGGAAGAGAAGCCTTGACAAGTAGTAGAAGGAGCTCATGGAGGAGGATATCTACATAGTTTTCAGCAGCAGATTCCCCATACTAGTTTATTTCTTGGGAAAGAAAGAAGACAAACTAAACAATTTGCTTATCAGTCTCCCAGCTGGGCATCTAGCTACTTGAAAAACTGTTTCTGGTGATCAGTTGGCATATTCTCTCACTTAGTTCACATACAAAGGGAAAAAAGCTGCTATCAGAAGAAAATCAGGCAAGTAGAAGACTAGACAGCAGATAGCAGGAAAGGGTAATATGTTAGAGCAGCAAAATGAATTCAATGAAAAGGAACACTGGAAACCCCTCTGGCTAACGCAGCACAGAGTTCAAAAGGTAAATTCCTCCCCTTTTTCTGAAGTTAAAAGGAAGGGGATGCATAAAGAACCAAGAACTTATGCGATGTCTGTTTTCATGCACTGGGGATGAGGGTCATTCCCTAGGTTCCCACTTGTACTCAGCTAGAGCAGAAGTCTGTCATGTAGCACAGTGCCCCTCTCTTGTTCCAAGTCTGTGGACAGGATGCACTGGCTTGAGCTGACCAAAGCAATGCTGATACGGGTGTCTTAAGTAAGGAGTAGGTTGTGGTACTATAATTTTGGATCCTAGAAGTGCCCTAATCCTGGGCTCGAGGTGCTGTGACTTTCTCTTCCATCAAATATTCTGGGACTGTGCGAGGTCTGGAAATGCAGAAATATTGCTAAACCTGCTAATAAAACAGGCTTATGTAGGAAGGTGATCCAGTGGTAGGTACTCCTAAGGGAGTAGTCATCCAAGGGACCCTTGATTTGCTGCACCAACACTTAATCCCAGAGGATTCAGATTCTGGAGGTATTAATGCTTTCATTTAAGCACAAGGAGATATTCCTGAGTTGAGATAAAAGCAGCTTATCCCTAAAGATTTTGATTCAACTGTGCAACATCATATTAACTGTGGATGTTAATATGTGGGATGTGCATGTGACTGAGCACCGGCACAGGTTTCCCAGAGAGGCTGTGGAGCCTTCCTCTTTGGAGATCTTTGGAATTCATCTGGGCATGATCCTGGGCAACCAACTCCAGATGGCTGTGCTTTTGAGTAGGGGGGTTAGACCAGATGGCCTCCACAGGTAGATGCCAACCTCAACCATTCTGTGATTCTGCGACATGGCCCAACGTTGGGCTGGTGGGTGGAATATGCATGCATGCTCTATTGCCACTAATTTGGAACAAAGATGTACCTAGGCTGCAAGATTAAAGTGTTAGGCAGGTCAACGCTTGATCTCTCATAAATCACAATTGAGCTTTGGCAGTGACAGCAGTACAGGTCTGCTCCATATGCTTTTAATAAGCTGTAAATGGACTGGACATCAGACATCTGTTTATTTCTGAAGTTTAATGAAAAACAATTTAGTCCTATCTGCTAGAAGGTGATTTTTTAGCCCATTTTCTTTTCTCCTTTTGAATTCAGAATGTGGCAATGCACATGGGGCTTGACAGACTTCCTAGATAAGTAGCTAACACCTGGTCATGGTGGGAAAAGTGATATAGCCCAGAATGCAAACAATTCAGTGAGCTGTGGCTGAAATTTATAATGGCTTGACCTTCAGCTGAAATAAATTTGTCACCTTGTTGTTATGCTGAGTTATATTGTCCAAGGCTGATGCCTAAGATTTCTGTCTATTTGGATATTGTTGTTCTGTTCAGTTTTTATTTTGACAGTCTGCTTGGGGACAGTAAGAAGGAGATTTTTTTTCCATTTCCTTTTGCATGTGCCAAATTCTGTTACCATGATTGAATAAGAATGGTTGTACATTTATAAATATTTGTGAGATACGGTAGCTTGTGTTTCTACATGTGTGTGCAGATAGCAGGAGAAGTAGGGTTCTCATATTTGTTCCACATGAAATGTGGCATTATATGAATATTGGTTGGTCCTTACAAGCTGTTGGTATGTGGGTAAGATACTATCTAGGAAGCCTTTTTGGTTGCTCAATGGGTCTTGTCTGAAGGAAACACTCTAAACTGTGATTATCATGATTGGTTGATAAGGGAACATTATATATGTGTGTGTGTGTGTGTGTATACGTGTATGTGTATATATATATATATATATATACAAAAACAAACAAACAAAAAAACCACCTTCTGTCTTCTCTAAAACTTCTGTCTTCCTGAAAAGGTTTAAGCTGCAACTCCTGGCAACTTGGGGCTGGAATTCCCAGGCTGACATCGCTATCGACAATATTACGTTTGGACTGGACTGCTTCAATGACGGTAAGTCACGCGTTACAGAATCCCTTAAAGAATTTGGGTGGTGTAATCAGCATGCCACTGATTCAGGAGACATTTGTTCTGTTTCACCCACGGAGTGCACATGGTTCATTTGTGTTAGCTTTTACAGTAGAATGACATCTTATCTCAGATCTACTGAAGATTGAAAGTAGAGGTGATTTTACAGTGTGTTCATCCCCTAGCGTTCTTTCTTTTCTCTAATCTGGGATATTCTATATCACATAGTAGAGACCTGCCTGCGTGTCTTGGCAATAAACACTTGACTTATGCCTGAGCTTTAAGTGGAAGAATTACATCACATTGTTCTTCAGCAGTCCTCTATGACCCACACACCCTGACAACTGATAGCACAAGTGAATTTGTTGAAAACAAATGGGAAAGCCACTATATTTTAAGAGACAAAAGGAGGAAAATGGAGGAATAAAGTGTCTCTCTGACAGTAAAGTTCAAGTTGTTGAAACAAGTCTATTTTACCCTGCAAGGAGGTGCATCAAATGTAACTACCAGATAAATAATAGCATTCCTTTGCTTCGTTACTGCTAATGTGACTGATCACAATGTATTCCACTGAAGATGGAGCCAGTGCTCAACTCCAGAACATGTTAGCAAAAGAGCTGAATTTTCTTAGCAGCCGAGTGGAGTGAGGTTGGATACTTGAACCACCTGGAAATATTAGAAACTGCCCTCTTTTTGTCCATGGAGAAAAAACCCATATGCTCTGTAGTAAAATTACAAAAGAATATGAAACACTTAAATTGTGACTTCTGTTACAGACAAAATGTCCTGTGCTACCCTTCACATGTCACCACATCCATTTTGTCAGCAATGAGGGCAGGAACATATCCCTGAAGAGACTGGCTGTAGCCTAATGTACCATGTGGGAAGGCTTATGTTAAAACTGGCATGTGTTAAAAGTTCTTCATTATCAAAAGCCCCTTTAACTTCCCACCTTCGTCCAATTTGGTGTCATCTACTCTGTCCCTTTGCTCTGTGGGGACTGAGGACACCCTTGTATAAAATGCTGAGCATGCACATTTTCATTTGAAATTAAGAGGCAGAAATGCTCATTTAGGGTAAAGTCATCTGTCCACTCCAGCTACTTAACACACCTGGCTCCCAAACACTTTGGGACCTTCACACTAACACTTTCTTTTGAAATCTGAGGAAATCTTTTGAGGAAACTGAAGAGAGTGATTCCAGATGCTCTTGTGCCAGCTGCCATGCATCCAGATGCTGTAGCTTACTGCTCTCCTAACAGCAAATACAGGCAGCAGTGTACCTGCAGAGATTTTGCTGTCTCTAGTGTAGGGACACAGTATTTGGCAAAGAGGTGGGGTATAAATGCTACTGCAACAGTTTTATCAGAGCTTGTCCATTAGATAACACCCCCACCCCCACACCCACACCCCAGTTACTCCTCAATTTCAAATGCTATAAATCACACCAATGTCCAGGAGTAGCAGCCACTTACCCTATCTGAAGGTGTGACCCAGTTATGTGACTCATGCAGAAGACAGACATCATGAAGGAAATGTTTCTCGGAAGCCTTGTATTTGCCATTGTTCCTTGAATCCTCTTTGCAAATCGACGTTTTCTCGCCTCTAAAAGCAACTCCCTCGCATTTGTCTTCTCATGACTTTAATTCAGTTAGGTTGCGGAGAAGCCCAGCAGCTCTGCTGTGCTTTAAGTAATGAAATTATTTCTCCCTAGCAAGGAGAGGTTTCAGATGTCAGAGATGGAGCCAATTAAGATCCAAGCAGTGAATTCTTTGCATGAGGGCAACAGGAAGGACATATGACAGGAAGGAAGAATATGCCGTTTGCTAGCATGTAAATATTAATTTCTTCATCTATTTCAATCCCGTAGTTCAATTGTTCTTCAAGACCCAGTGCAGACCTTGAAAGCCTTGCTTGTATGCATGCAATCCAGGAAAGAAGGTGGGGTCTTCTGTATCCCTCAACACCAGGAAGGAAGTATTGGTAATATTTAGGAGGGGAAAAAAACACACAGTAGTGAGGGAAGCTCATGAAATATCAATAAGGACTAAAAACCAAACATCCCATTTTTTTGGATGGCAGATACTTGGTGGGGACAGGTGCTTTCCCTGTGAGAAAGGCAAAATGAAACCATCTTCTGATTAATAAAATCACCCTGTGTAAGACAGTGTGACAGACCGGGTGACATGAGTCTGATATGCTGTGAGAACTTTTAGGGAACAAACAGAAAGATTTTATCCTTTTAGTTAGCCAGTGCTAAATATGGGGTTCTAAGGAAGACAGTCTAAACATGAAAATGTGAGCTGGCGTAGTGAATAGAATGCATCTGCATCATTGCTGTCCTCCTCAGTGCTTATGTGGTCACTGCTTTTACTGTTACATTTTAATGCTCTGAGCATGGTATTGTTCCAGTTAATATCACAGCTCTGTGGTCTGTCAAAGTGCACTCTACTGCCCTGGCCTAGGGGTTACATTTCATTCTGCACGTCATTTACTCTTTCAAAGAAGGCTGTTTTTAATGTGACAGGACTGTCCGAAGAGAGCTTTGTATGGCATATCTCTAGTTTTTAACTTTGGAATCCCCAACCCAGCAAACCTGCCCTTTTTGGCCTGCCTGTCTCATTGCTTGAGGTGAATGGAGGTGAGTGGTTCAAGCTACTCAGCACTACCTCATTTGATTTATTCAGTAAGGTGTTGACTAGAAATACAGTTGGATCAGCCAAAAGGCTGGGGAATGGGGAGGCTGGTGGAGCTTCCTCATTCTCTTTTCCACTCCAGGACAAGCTGGAGAGACTTCCAGGATTACTCCACCTGCATCTGTGAGGTGGGATCTCTGAAGAGATCATGCACAATTTGGGGATACTGCAAGGCACCTCGTATTAATTCCTGCCCCCAAACCACTACATCTTTTTTTTTCTTTTTTCTTTCTTTCTTTTTTTTCTTTTTTCATTACAGTCCCAGAGACAGAGAAGAGCTACTTGCTTTAGCTCTGTGCCTGCAGAAGTTTCCCCTTCTCCTTTACACTTCCTTCTGTCCCTCCATGGTTTGTGAGTCAACAGCATGAGCTAAGTCCTGGAGTAATGGAGTTGTGTGTTCTTTCTATTTTTCTGATATAAGCACACCTTAACATAAAGAATTTTTGTTCCTTTCTGTTCACCTATGGTCAATAATTTGGCTGTCAGAAGAGCAAGTAGAAGCTAAAACAGACTAGAGCACCAGCTTCTGGATTCCAGGCCTACAATATATTTGTAGAAAAATGCCACCTTACAGATTCATGTCTGGCAGCACATAAAGGATCATCCTTGTAAGAGTTAACAGCTCTTGTGGACAGGCTGATGCTCAGCCTGTCAAGCAGCTTGTGTACTGAAAACAGAGGAGACAGAAGCTTTCTTCCAGCATGTGAGGGTTTGAGACTGTTTGGAAAAGGAGGAAAGATTGTTTGTTTGGAAACAAAGCATTGCCTCAGGATACTCAGTTGGGATGCTGAAAAAAAATCCATGCAGACACAGACGGGGTCTGTATTTCAGGGACTGATTTACATTCCATCACTCTGGCAAACATAACCAGACTTCTTGTATGTCTCTAACTATCTAAAACTGTTTTGACCTATGCGATTCATAATTCAGTTCAGGCCTTGGGAGACCAAGCATATTTTCTGGCTATGCATTGTCTTTTTCATTTGGTTTTCCTTCTTGCCTTTGATCCAGTTCATTTGTTTTGGGTTAATTTCATTTTTCACTTGCTTGACAACTCCATCCATTGAAGTTCTCTATCTCAGTATGAACAGAGTGTGTCAGTACAAAGCTCCCTTTTACTTCCATCCATCAATGTGCATTCAGTCAGACCTAGGGGAAATATTCACAGGAGTACAAACACAGCAAGGTCACCATGCTTCAATTAGTTATTTGGCCTTTCTGACACAGCTAACAAGGGTGTTAATTATTGCTATTTAGAGTAGTGTCTTTGCAGCAGAGATAATTGTCCAGCTGGAACTGAGTCTCTTTTGAATAGAGCATCAAACAGCTGTTAGATTCTCACAACTGGAACAAATTGAAATATTTGTAATGTTTTTCAACTAATGAAAAATATTCAATATTAAATTAACTGAGGGCTCATAAAATGGAAGAAAGTCTCTCCTTTTTCTTATCATGATTTTCTAATCACAAAATAGATCTGCCTAAAAATGGGTAATTTAACTTTGGAAATAAGATGCCTGCAGAGTATAAAGAAAGTGTTCAGTTACTACTTTTTCCTGTTCTATTTGGTTATACGCGATGTTCTCAATGCATTCAGATGCTTTGGTTCAGCAGCTACTTTGAAGTCCCTCCTCTCTGAGATAGAGCTGATTTTTGAAGGTCTGTTTCACTGCTCATAAATGCTACCTTTTGCTCTGTTTTTCAAAAAGATTTGTCAAAAGATTTATGACTCCTGATATCACCATCCTTTACACGTGCACTCATTTGGCTGTCCACAATTGTCATTTGCTCCTTTGACCAGCACAGCATCAGTACTTGTTATCTGTTCTCCCACACCATGTTTTCCCAAAGTCTCTTGTAATTGCAGACAGTGCAGTTTGCTGGCCAAGGAGCTTATTTTGCAGGTAAGCCTCCATAGGGTAACATGGGGAGTTTGTGTTCATGTTAAGTCCCACTGATTTCAGCACAGATAGAAGTAGGAAAGACAAAATACAGGCCCAAAAGAATGGAAAAAAATGCTGGATGTGTTCTGTCAAAGGTATTATTTACTTATTTTAACCAAATGCTTGCACTTCATTTGTTCATGTGGTTTTTAAATTTTCTCTCTCTCTTTTCTACCATCCTCCTGTCTCTCTCATCCATTCTACAAACTATTACAGGAAGACAAACAAATCATTTCAGTGGGAAGCGACAGTACCCACGGGAGATTAGTATCCCCGACGAGCATCTTCTGAATCCCCTGGAAGAGCCTTCCCTCCCAGGTAGATGATTCTGTACTGAAAAACTGTCTCTTGACTGTAAGAGGTGGGTCCCTTTGCATCTCCCATATGTGATCTGCCTGAGTGTGGTCTGCCTGACCTATAGCAACAGAGCAATGAAGTATAATCCTTCCCAAAGTTGTGGAGACCATGTCAGGTAGTCTCTGCTTGCTATGGGACAGCACTTTCCTGAAGTGCAACTCAGCAGTCCTTAAAGAACAAAATGTTTTAAAGGAAAACCAGAATCCTTAGGTAAAAAAGCTTAAAGAAAAAGCAGAAGCTACATGACTCAAATTCAAAACACACAAAAGCCAGGCCAGGAGAGAAGGGTGTAGGACAGTTCAGGCAGGTGGGGATAGACAGAGGTCTACTGGGACTTAGTGAGTAGTGAAGCTGAACCTAATGGGTGGGATAATACAGTTGTAAAGATGAAGATCCAGGGAGGGAAATATGTGAAATAGATAGGAAATCCACTGAGGAGAGAAATTGGATGAAAAGCAAGGAGGACAGGGGATACTAGGGACCAGTTTACTGATAGCAGTCCAGTGCCACTCTGGAGGACAGATAACAGCTGCATGGGTGACTAGAGTTGGCTGACGGAGGACCTGAGGAGAGGAGGCTGGGGTTGCCTGAGGAGCCAGGCATAGAGAAGAGGCAAGAGGAGGTGACAAGACAGGACATATTAAGTTTGGAACGCAACCAGTAAGTATTCAGGAAAGCATATTCTAGCACATAATCTTCAATGAAACGTAAGATTCCTGTGTTTTGAGGTTGTTTTACTGCCAACAAATAGCTGTGTTCACCTGAGATGTGACAATCTATATTGCTGTCAGTTTCTTAGTTAGCTTACATGGCAGAGATTTCTGTAGTTTAGCTAACATTCTTACCCTACCGATCCATCTGTGTGTTGGCAGGGTGACATCTGTTGAGGATAGTTTTCCTTGTCTTTTCCTTTAAATAAGATTAGACTTTTATTTTTAAAAGGCTTGTGATTTTTACTGCTCTTTTAATCATTCAGCTCTTAAACAGTTCCATGTTGGTAAATCCTGTGCCACTTGATTCTGACCCTTGTGTGTGCATTTCGTACAGTATTAAAAAATTTTACTACATTTCATCAATGGTCACTAGTTGCAATGGCAGATATTTTCAACTTTAATTTCTGTTTATATGCTTCAGTCCTCACCTGGAAAGCTGAATAATACTTCCTTGTTTAATACGGGCGTTGAAAAGAAAAAAGCGGTAATGTCTGTGAGGGACTTGGATAACCCCCCTCAGAATCCCCTCCCAACCCCACAGTGATGCATTTATCTGCAGTCCATGATTTATTAAGTATTTTGCAGGAAATAAGGTGAGAGAAAAAGAGCAGTGACCATAAACAGAGCACTATTTGTGCTGTGACTAGAAAAAAGCTAGGATAATGTGGTAAAAGCATTCTGTGATCTTAAGGACAGTATCATAGTGAATTGTATTATGAGGGAACTGCATTAAAGTTGAACAGTTAAATTTATCTTTAGCATGTACCATCTTTCAAGTCCTCAGTATTGCAAATGTAAATTTAAGTATCTCTTTTTGTATAATTACTGTCACAAGCATATGATCAAATTGACCTATTCAGTTTTAAAGCCCTGTACATAGCCAATAGTGCTGCAACATGATCTTTCTCACAATCATCTAGTTTTTATGTAAAAATCATTAATGTCCTTTGTGAATAACAATGATGTGAATTTTGTTATCAAAGAATCACAAAGGAAACACATCAACAGGAAAAGTCGCTTATGTGGATGGCACTTGACCTCTAGTTAGAGTTCTGTGAGTTATTGCACATGCCTGAGAAATACCGGGAAGCTCATACCTGCCCTAACTCTGGCTGTTCTGCTTACAGGGGACACATCTGTTGTTCTCTGGTGGTTCACAACATGTGGTGCTAGTGGTCCACACGGGCCAACTCAAGCTCAGTGTGACAATGCCTATAAGAACAGCAATGTGTCGGTGACAGTGGAGAAAGAGGGCAGGCTTCGAGGAGTGCAAGTCTGGAGAGTGCCAGCCACAAACCGATACAGGTACATATCTGTGCTGAAGAGGTAGCCATTTATCTACTTTCTGATTGTGGAGTTTCAGCAAGCGTAAGTGGGAGACCATCTGTATTGAGGGGGTGAAGAGAACACCAACATAAAAAAGAAATAGCTGAAAGGATCTGTGTCTGAGCTACTGTTGAAACAGTGACTTAAGGGAGATTAGAACAGGAGTGACTGTGGGCATGCAATTAAATAGAAGTGCTACCATCATTTCAGTCCCAAAGCCTTGGTGTTTTTGAGTTGGCCATGCCAGCTCATGCTGTTTGCTTCTGAAATCTGTCTCCAGTGCTCTGGCTTAGAGTTGATCAATCCTCTCGAGCAGTTTCAGCTGTGTGAGTATTAAAAAAAGGATGGCCATGAGATGCTGCAGCAGGAGCCTGCTCTGGAGCAATGCCTGTTTGGGAGTGCAGGCTGGGGAGAGCTCACAGATGGAGCTGCTTTGGGGAATGAGAAGCATAAGATTTGTCTCTTTAACTACACCCATTTCTTTCAGGATTTCTGCCTATGGAGCGGCTGGAGGGAAGGGAGCCAAAAACCACAATAAGAGGTCCCACGGGGTCTTCATCTCAGCCACCTTCCAGCTGGAGAAAGACGAGCTGCTGTACATCTTAGTGGGGCAGCAGGGGGAAGATGCCTGTCCTGGGGTGAGGGCTGCACAAGCACATGTGGGCAGACTTTGCAGATGAGATTCAGTGGGTGGCTTGGGGTTTGGCTGAACTGGTGATGAAAGACAGAAATCCCAGGATCCAGCAATGAAATCCAGTCAGGACTGGGAAGAACCAATAAACCAAGTTAGAAAGAATCTCAAAACAAATATAAAGAACTCTGAAAAGAAAAACAACTCCAAAATGTACAAACAAATGCAAAGCCCACAGGAACTTTTCTTTAAGCTCCTGGTATTTAAATTCTTCATCAGTTTTCTTCTGCTTATTTTAAGAGGGGAGCTACTAGGCAAGAGTTGTGAGCTCCCTCTTATTTTTCTGCAGCCTGGATTTCTTTCTGTGTGTCAGGATTTCAGATAATTTTCTGTTATTTATGGAAGCATCTACAAGCCCTAAACAACATTGTGGCTGCACTTTCTTAGATGCTCTAAGCTTAGAGACAAATATCTAAATCCAAAGCCTATCAAAACCAGTGGGAATCTTTCCACTATCTACAGTAGCCCCTGAATTAAATGTATGTAATGGCAAAAGAAAACTACTCATGATGAACAGAAATTAATGACACAAATGGTTATACATGTGTCTGCTAACACCAGATTCGGTGATCTGAAAGTCCTTTTTATCAGTTAGGTTCAAAAGCTATGTCTTCAGCATGGATTCTTTGTTATTACCTCTTTCCAGAAATGTGATCTGCCAGCCCATGCCCAGGAACTCTTTTCCCAACAGATAGACTACTATGCAGATAGACTGTTTTCTCTTTTCCTCACAGATAGACTACTGTGCAGACAGTTTTCTCATTTCCTCACAGATAGACTATGAAGTTTTGGGGATGTGTATGTTATTCTTGGAGGCATTCAAAGTTCCCATTAATCTTGCCCAGAGCATATGACGTCTTTCCCAGATACTGCAACTGATTCTAAAACCAATGTTTCTTCACCTTAGATAGCACAATAATTACATCTATCTAAATAAAACATACATTTGTATATCTGAAGTTCCCTGATAAACCTAGATAGTGGACTATCTAGGCTTAAGTCATCGTCTTCAAAGATTCCTTTATTACCCTACATGTATATTTTGTGAATTGTTCCTGAAATGGCAAGGTATATCCCAGTACAACCTCCCTTTGGAAGATGCTATTGTAAAGTTTTCCCATCTTGGCCCAACTTTGTTTCTGGCTTTGGAAATCCTGCTGAGTGTGTATGTTAGTAACTGATGTGTTTGTTCCTTTCTGTGAAGAAGTTCTGCAGCTACAAACATTCACTCTACCTCAGATTTGCCCCAATTGTTTTTCCCCAGTCTCCAGCTATGCTGCCATCCTTAGTCCTCTTCTTTGAATGACAGGACACAGGCAACAGAACTGTCACCATACTTCTGGCCTAGAGATGTGACGTGATCTACAGACATGGGGATTTCACGTGAACTAAGCTAACAGTTTCTGAAATCGTTCAGAATTTATCATCTAACTGAAGCTGGGCAGATTTGCAGTCATTGCAACTCGTGTAACTAAGTGTACACAAAAAAAAAAAAATCTAAGGTGGCCAAAGGTTCTTCACTTTTTCAACCTTTTCAGTGTCATCTAGTACTTAGCAGGAATAAAAAGCTGGGACTCCAGATACCTCTTCCAAAATGTGTAATTGGTTCACTGTTAACTATATTCCTGTCACCTCTGTCTGCTTAATGCATTTGTGACCTTGAAAAATAGGTAACAAGTATAGAAGTAAGGAAGGTCTGAGAATTAATCCATAATTCAAATACGTTTTAATGTTTTTGGATATAAGATGTTCTAAAAATGCAGGAAAAAATTATGTGATATCAATAATGAGCTAATTGCTGTAATACTTTCTAACTGTAGCGTTTCTATTTTTAATTGCATATGTGGCATAAGTTTGTAAGTCAGAGGTAACAGACAGTTCCATCTCTCAGCTGTCGGTCCTTGTAGAAGAGCTCATCTTCCATATAGATAATATATATACTGATTTATGTGTGTTTGACTAGCATCACAAACAGTATTACTATACTGAGATAGATAAATCTTAAGAACTGGGCCTTGCTAATATATGAGTGTTTCTCTTGTTTCCTTTCAGGCCAATCCTCAAACCCAGAAGATCTGCTTAGGGGAGTCATCTCTCATTGAAGAAGATTATAAAAAAAGAAAAGACCTGAAGGACTGGGCTGGAGGAGGGGGTGGTGGAGGAGGAGCAACCTATGTCTTTAGAGTAAGTATTCCCTCTTTCCATCCAATCTGAGCAACATCCAGCAGAGCAACTATCTTTCACTATCTATCGTGACATATGATACTCAGTTCTTAAAAGAAAGTGATAGAAAAGGAACGTCTTTTTCTCTTCCCCCTGTCCCCTCCACCTTTTACTGTGTCTCTCCCTGTCTTTTTGTCCTTTTAATTGAAATTCTTCATCCCTTTTCATATCCTTAATCATATTTGTCACTGTCACTAAGGAAGCTGAACTGGTTCTTCAGTTCTTGACACCTCAGGTCCAGGAATCACACCAGGGTCCTCTTTTAATACTGGCAGAAGTCCTCCAAAAAAAAAAATAAATAAAAAATCACTAGTATTCAATTGGACAGTTACTATTGTACACAGAAACACTGTGTAAAGCATTTTTATAATGCAGTCAGGAAATGATCAGTAATATTACCTTGGCATTTGGCCACTCTTCTTTGGGTTGCTTTCATGTTTTTTGATGAGTTTGTGTAAGTTCACATATCCAAGGGACATGAATTTTTTCTGATGTTTGATGGGGGGTTTTCCAGCAGAAGGATGGGATTTTCGAACCTTTGCTCATCGCAGCAGGAGGAGGAGGAAAAGCCTACCTGAAGGCTCAGGACAACTCCCTGGATGATGTACCACTGGAGCAATTTGAGAACAGCACTGCAGTACCTGGAGTCAATGGGAGGACTGGGGCAGCAGGTGAGATGCTAAAACCATACAAGGTCTGAATCTGATGGCTGAATGCACAAGCTGTCCTGTAGGCAAGGAGCTTCTTGATCTTTTGGAATTCTTCTGTGGTAGCAGTGGTTAGAATTATGCTGGTAGACCCTAAAGGATGTCTTTTTATATGGTGTATCCCTATATAAAATAGAATGCACAGGACAGGTGATGAGTGCTCCAGTTTCCATAGAAGGGGTCCTCTCTTCTCTGTAAAGACTCACAGAGTGAAAATGATATTTTGGGAGTGGAGCGCACTCCTCCACATTGTAACAATGGCCTTAGAAGAGAAGACTTTTTTTTCCCTGTTACTCCCCTGTAAACCTACCAACAAGAATGTTTCTGGAATTATCCTAGAAATGGAAGCTTATTTATAATCTTGTAATAAATGTGCCTAGAATCCATTCCTAAGAGACAAAATAATAATAATAATTCAGCGGTTCTCCATCTCTTGCTGTGTAGCGTCCTTATATGGAGAGACCACTGGAATGAGATGAGGAAATCCAGTTTATTTTTTATTTCCCAGGGAACTCAGCATGGCTGAAAGCCCTAATCGGTTATCCCAAATGAGTTTGGTGGGCTCCTTATTTCCGCAGTGCCACTAGAAATTGGTGCTAAAGTGTTGGTTTTGCAGCAGGTACCCCATATAATGCACTATATTTCTACTTTGTTATTATCTATAACAAGGAGCTTGTCTGTATATTCTCTTACCCTTTAAGAAACAGTTAACTTGAATGCAGGCACTTCTTAACACATTAACTTTTATTTGTTTGTGCTTCCCTCACCTGTTCTTGTTTTTCATGTCTCACTCTTCGATTGTGAAGGTGGAGGTGGTGGCTGGCAAGATGTGACTCTGCTTCCTCAAGCTGGAAAGTCCCTTCTGGAAGGTGGAGAAGGGGGGCAAGCTTGTCCCCAAGCACTAGCCAAACTCCAGTGGGCCACCTCTGGTGGTTTTGGTGGGGGAGGAGGAGCTTGTACTTCTGGTGGAGGAGGTGGAGGCTACAGAGGTAGGTCTGATGAAGAAATAGTCATACTGTCTATTTTTATACAATTCAGAGCACCTGCAGCTAGAGGCTAGAGCTCTCATTGCAGAGGTACACTACTGAGGAAGATAATTCACAGACACTTCAACCTGAATTGTATGAGCCCCCACCTCACTCCATCTCTAGTTAATTGTGGAAGTCAAGATTGCAGAAGTGTTTCTACAGGACTTAGTATTTGGAAGATATGCTGAATAATCCCTTACTTTGTCCTTAAGTTGCCCAGGGAAAATGCTCCATTTATTTTTTGTGTTTCAAGCAAATACATCTTAACCTTGCTGAACTGAGAAACCTACACTGGAATAAGTCATTTCACTCGTCTTCGTACTTGTTGGTATGAATGAGTGTTATCCATCACGGATGTTAAACATACTAATACCACTGAAAGGCTGCAGAGTGACTGCACTTATTTCGAAGCAGGAAGAAATGTGACACTTTAAAGGCATCACATTTTTGCAGCATTGATCAGCTAGCCTTACTCTTCTTTCTCCAGGGGGGCATGCCTCTGACAGCGATGATATGCTGGCTGGTGGGCAGGATGGCATCTCTTTTGTGAACCCCATTGGAGAGATCTTCTTGCATCCCCTGGCAGGTACAATGGACTTTTACTTCTTTCTCTTAGTTCTTTTCTTCCTCCTTTTCTTTCCCTTCTCTATTTCCTCTTTCCTGCTCCCTTTTCTCCTGCCTTTTCCTTTTATGCATTTCATTCAGGCATATTTCACTCTGCAGGCCAGTTCCTTAGCTGTGGTTATTGTTTTAAAATTGTATTGCTCTGAGACCTTTTCCCTCTCAATCTCCTAAACCAGGAGAGGCACTAGTCATCCAGTTTAACTGCACATCCTCAGTCCCAGACATTTTCAGGTCAATTCACTTCAGTACCTCTCTGCTTGAGGGACACAATTCCTTCTTCCCCACCCTGGATCCCATCTTTTTTTTTGACATGTGTCCACAGTATCTGCTGTCCTGCAGAGAGAGGGAGAGGAGTTGTATGTGCCTAGTCTTTTTTTCTTTTTCCTTTTTCCTTTTTCCTTTTCCTTTTCTCCCCCCTTGCCCCCTTTTCCTACTGTAAAAAGATGAGAAAAGCTAAGATAAAACTGTCCTTTCTGGTTCCTCATTCAGCCATGGAGAGTCATGGTGAGGTGGAGGTTCAGATCTATCTTAACTGTAGCCACTGCCACTCAGACAACTGTAAGAGGGACCCTGACACCAACCTGCCAGTCTGCCAATGTGAGATAGGGGCTGTGCTAGCCAACGACAATGTCACCTGCACTGGTAAGACGTAGGACTTTTTTTTTTCCTAATTGGATAATGTTTGCATTCATTGTGTCATCTCTCCTTTTGGCTTTTTTGATATTCAAATACCCAATACTGAAAATTCCTGATGTCCTTCCCTTATATGCTGAGCTGCATATCTATCATGATATACAAAATTCTGGTTTGGGTTAGGTGGAAGGTGAAATATTTGTAAAGGGACACAGTGGAAAATTCTTGAATGGGCACAGTGTATCAGATGTTTAAGCGTAAATACCTTTCTTGTATAATATACCACCTAATGCTGAGATATTTAAGCCGCAAATTACTTCCTTCCACAGAAGTTTCTCACTGTGCCTGTTCAGCTGATGCCTGGTATTCATTATGTTTTTCTGACACAGTCTCTCAGAACTCCAAAGTATCAAGACTGCAGAGAGTTTCAATTTGTTAGCAGTGATGTCATCCATTAATAAAAAACTGAGGAATGGAAAAAAAGAAACCTGTGTTTTATCAGTTAGATTTCTGTCTTAACAATGTTTTTAAAATGATTTAGGTATTTTTTTCAAACTCCAGGGCTGACTTTGTGTAATTTTTATAAGATGGTCTGGCCATGATCTCTGTATTGTTTTCTGAAATAGAAGGAAACTTGACAGGGATTCTTTCCTGCAGCTTGGGTTGTTTCCTGATTAATCCACCGTTGTTATTCTTTTTCCAGTGCCACAGACTCACATCCCAGAGGGACACCTGCCTCTCCCACTCCTCCTAGCTGTGGTGGCTGTGATTGTAGTGCTTGGAATGATCCTCACTTGTGGTAGCCTCTCTATCAGTAAGAAAAACTCATTTCTTATCAACATTTGATTTGGCTTTACCCAACTAAATTAGACAAAAGGGGACCACCCAACCACATGCTGCTACTTCTAATACTTGGAGCCAGAGTGTTTTGGTCTCCCAGGTTGATCAGAGAGACGTAGAGAAAGGAACGATAGGAAACATTACTACCCCGCAGTTAGGCACAAGCATAATCCCAAAGGCTAATGACTGCTCTGGCCTGGTATTTGCTGCAGAGGAAAGCTTGGAAAGCCCTCTTCGCAGACACTTTCTTAGCAGCCATTGCTATATAGACTGAAGTCACAGTCTGTAATTAAATATATAACTAATTCAGGGGAGTGGTATGGCTTTTGGGACTCAATAACAGCTAGGTGTCTTGGGGAGCAGCCTTTTCTCGGCCAATGTACACAGAAGCAGAGGAAACTTAAGTTTCTCCATGATTAGGACTCTGCAGGGACTGTTTCGTATATTCAGTATTAAATCACTACAGGATGACACACACACAGAGCAATGCTGGCAAGCTAAAGATACTTCTTGAGCATTTGTAGTTACTGACTTGGGTTCTTCTTTCTGTTCTGTGTGGCTAGTATTGCATTTTCTCTCCAAGTGCTTATCTTGTTTGTGTAATTTTATTTGCCTCTCCACCCTCAGTTTATCACCTTAAGAAACAGCAGCTGGAAGGAGCCAGAGCACGACTGCAGAGCCCAGAATATAAACTGAGCAAAATCCGCACATCAGCCATCATGACAGATTACAACCCTAACTACTGCTTCGCAGGGAAGGCTGCCTCTCTGAGTGAGCTGAAGGAGATCCCACGGAAGAACATCTCTCTGCTGCGGTAAGGCTTGCTGCAGGGGCTGCTCTTTGGCACAGAAGAAAGGCACCCTGAACCAAAGGCAGAGGTAGAGCTCACACACGTTTTATTCACTGTCAAGCACCCAGAACAAGAAACTGAGGGCCTCCTGGGAAGCACCTAGTCCAGGCAAGGAAAAATGTGATGTGTGACACTTTCTGTGTTCTTTGAAATACTTTGATTCCATAAAGCTCTTAAGCGCAGGTATGAGTTCATGAGCCTTCTGTTCAATGCTCCCATACAGAGCAGAGGGTATTTCACCTCTCTGTTCTTGTGTGATGTCCTGGATTACACCTCACACCTGGCAGTAGCTCCCTTCCAAATCTATAATGGTATTTCTTTTTCTGCATTTCCTGTCACAAGAAAATACACACTAGGTTACTCTTCTATTCCATACAGTCCAGATGATCTTGATTAAAGCTATAAGGAAAGGAAAATCTTGATCATTCTTACGTGTTGTCTTTCTCCATCTCCTGAAGAGATCAGCCTGCAGCTTCTGTTATACGTTGTTTTCCAGTTCTTTCTTGTCTTGCTATTTTCACACCTTGTGTCAGGGCCTTGGGACTGAGGACTGCTTTATTGCATAGAATGGTTTGGGTTGGAAGGGACCTGTTCAGAACCATTGAGGGTCCAACCTCCCTGGTTTAGCAGCAGAACCAGAAGATAGAGAGAAGTTATTTTTAGAGGTTTGAGATGAAGACAGTTATTGATACCATCTCTTACAGCAGGTTCTACACCTATTCTTGGACTGGACAAAAAGAAGGGCTCAGCCAACGCTTGGTGCAGGGGCACGGTAATACCTGTTCTCTCTCTTTTTCTCCCAGGGCGCTAGGACATGGTGCATTTGGTGAGGTTTATGAGGGAACAGTGGTAGGCATTGCTGGAGATCCCAATCCTCTTCAAGTGGCTATCAAGGTCAGTACCCACAAATTTTGTATACAACTATAATAACCAGTAAGAGCCATATTATCTTACTGCCATTCCAGTTGGAGATTCATGCTCATTACTTGTATAATGGCAGACGTGTGTATATGATGCATGTTTCCACACATTGCTACATTTGAGAGTTATAAACTTTGATTTTTTAGCTGAATGGCACCAACAGCAGGTTGAAAGTAAAGCATCTATCTTGTTCACTGTATGCCTAATGCCCATGAGTTGTGATCTAACTAGGATAAGAACCTAAAAAGGGCAATTGCTTTTGTAGCCTATACCACTGTTGCTTTTAGGTGTTGGAACGGGTGCCCAGGGAGGTGGTGGAGTCACTGTCCCTGGGGGGTTTTAAGTAAAGGTTGGACGTGGTGCTTAGGGACAAGGTTTAGTGGGTGACATTGGTCATAGGGGGATGGTTGGACCAGGTCATCTTGGACATCTTTTCCAAACTTTATGATTCTGTGCTCAGGAGAGAGAGAAGCCATGCCCACAGATGAGAGGTTGTGTGAATTAGACTGCTTTATACTGTTAGTTAAAATAAAATAAATCATCAGTCATCATAAATAAATATACCTCCCCTGAAATCAACACAGAACCTTGAGTTCACCCCAGCAGAGAATCTGGTCTGCCCCCAGAAATTCCTTCAAAAAGTCCTTCTGAGGTGGTTGCTGAGAGCCCTTGATGGTTCCACTAGGACAGTAGAGCTGCTGTCCTGTGCTTTTCTGCCACAATGATTTATTGATCCAAATAGCTGGGGGACAGACAGACAGACAGAAAGAAAAACTCAGGGGAAAAAAGTCTAACAACAAACAGCTGGAAAAGGATTTTTAAAACCTGCATATAAAAAAGAAAACCTGGTCAATGTTAGTATGAACCGTTTGTCTGATAGGAAAAAATAAAATATTTAGAGTAATGCTTGTATATTATTGCTTCTGCATTTCAGTTTTTAAGTGTTTTCTCATAATTTTTTCATTTGACATTACTGTATGACAAAATTTGTATTATTTCACTGTTACATTTCTTTTATACTGAGAGTAGTATCTGCCTACCACAGATGAAGCTTGCAGGCAGTTTCTTAGTGTTGCATAGTGTTAAATATGCTGCTATGAATATATACTGTGATATTATCCTAATTTTCCATGTCATTAATGGCAAGAGATAACAGGCTAGTTTTCTGTGAAATTACTGCTGTTGCCTCAGGATTTGCCAGTTACTCAGCCCAGAAATATAGGATGTTTTTATCCTCCTTTTATTCTTTTATAAGTTTGTGACTCAGAGGTCTAAATCTACTTCTGTGGGTTCAACCCAAAATGCAGCTTTCCTTAACAAAAAGATGTCCTATTGTTATTCACTCTGTCTTTCAAAAAACCTCTTTAAAAAAAAAAGGAGAGAAAAGAAAATGGATCGTGCATTACATGTATGAAAACCAAGAACAGACACAAGTAGTTTTAACTGCCCAACTCAGTTTCACTGTCCGTACTGGAGGAAGTACCACAGCACGGTGCCCAACAGAAGGAGGTCAGTGTGTTGTTCAGCTGTGATAAGCCCATGAGGATGTCACCAATTTTGCAAATCTCAGCAGTGATAGCCACTTGTAAGTGGCTGTCTGCCCACTTGTTCACCCAGTTCCCTGTAAAGGATGCCCTGAAGATCACCAAAGGCTGCTCTTCTCTCCTGCTGGTAACAGAGAGTACCCATGGGGCCCAAAATGTGGCTGTGCTCATTTTGCATCATAATAGAGAGCATCAGCCTTAATCTGACTTTACAGAAGAAGCAGGTGCAGACTATCAATAAAAAAAATATATTTGCAGTAATACTATACATACTGTTTGTGGGTATTCCACCAATTTATTTAATAGACCATCTGCACTGTCCTGTGTGAAGCAATCACTTGTTTCATATAGCAAAATGCAACCGTGTCTTCTGTAGCCCAAACTGCCAATGACAAGCATGGGGTCTCCTCGTTGAGCAGCAAACACACCCCCTGCTTTCTGAGTGCAGTTTGGCAACAGGAACTACACTGCTGTGGCCAAATCACCCTATAATGCTCCAGTGGGCAGCTCCTGATGCCTGCGCTCTCAGTTCATGTTTATCAGTGGCAGATGATGTCCCATTCTGCTGGCTGGAGAGAAGGCCATGTGACACAATTATATAAATCAGGTGGCTCCATGTGTCGGAAGACATGGAAGTATGTGCTGTAGTGTGGACATATAGCAAAGGGAGAATAAATTCACACCTGTGGCTTTAAAGTGTGTACCAACATTTTTCTTAATGTTTACCTGAAGTTATTTTGATCCAAACATAGTTACACATGGTTTACGTGCACACACACAAAAAAAGCCTCCAAGTAGCTCACCGATTTCCTGTTCCTTTAACTGACAAATGCAGTTTAATAAACTGGGCACTGTAAAGATGTGGCCTTCCTCAGCTTCCTGAAGTCTTTCATGTTCATATTATCTGATGCTCCTATTTTTTTATTTTTTTTTCTTGTGCTTCCCCAAAATGTCCTCAATTCTTGGGTGGGATGGTCCTCACTTTCCTTACCTCTCAACAGACACTGCCAGAAGTCTGCTCTGAGCAAGATGAGATGGATTTCCTGATGGAAGCACTGATTATCAGGTATAGTTTAAGGTTCTTAGACTGGTGGTGGACAGGGGGAAGAGGAGTAATGCAGTTAATGAGAATTATTAGTCCAGTTGCTTAGGTCTGGAAAAAAAGAAAATCCAGTCTTATTTTTCACCAGATGACATTTTAGTACTGTATGAGTTACTGGTTTCAGCTACTTGTGTTCATCTTGAGCAAGGTATCTGTGTTTCTTTTGTTGAATGTCTCAGCAAAAATTCCTGGTTTGTTCTTTTGGTCATGTGAAGAGGAGTAAAAAGGCACAACATTTTTGTACAAACACGTTCTGTGTTTGAAATGTTTTCCTTTTCAAAGAATCCATTTGCCCTTTTACTTAGTACAAGTCATGTACCAAAGTCCTTGCTAAAACAAATTATCAATGGTGAAATGGAAAGCTGACCATGCGACAGGAAAACTGAAGATTAGAGCTACCCGTGAAGTGACTCAGAAGACCACTAGGGATAGTACAACACAGACCCTGTGCCAGGGAGGTAACCTTTTATACTTGGATGCTAGGACTTAAATTCCCACTACCTACATACTTCAGGTATTCCAGTCTTGGAATTTACTTCATTAACTCAAATACAGAAGCTTAAAACAAAATTAAAAATAATTTTATATTCAAGGGTGATTGTAAATGATCAGAATTTGTCCATTTTAAATTTGGGCAAGATGAAGTTCCTCTTCTCATTACATGGCCCAACTTAGACCTAAACATTCTTTTTCTGCTGCTGAAGCATGATTCAAGAACAAATCTCATAGCATAGTGCCATTTCCTAAAGTCTGAAAGAAGTTTGAGTGGCAGATGAACAGAAGGTAAGACTGATGTTTTTTAAAGCACAGTTTCAGTCAATTATAAAATGCTTTCATTCATGTAGTAGTATGTGACCTTTTCTCTTCCCTAACTTTCTTTTCATTCTTAGTTCCTGTATTTTCTGGGTAATGACAGTCCAAAGGAAGATCCTGCTTTCTAATGACTGAGTCTTGCTGAGCTTCCTGACTGTCTCAGCTTTCTTTTGTAAGAGGCAGAAAGCCATTCCCTGAGCAGCTGCTGCAGTAGGTATTAGATGAGCCTCTCTTTTGCAGATACTGAGCTGAGTCCACCAAACTGGACAGTCGTGTATTTAAAATAACCAATGCTGAAATAAAATCCCCACTTGCCAGGGTATTGTTTCACACATGCCAATAATATTTGGATAGTTGAAGAGTTCTGCTTTCCATTCCCCCTTCACCTAACCCCCATTCTCCAGTCAGTGTACCCATTAAGTTGTCTTCACAAACAGAAATCTCTCCTTTACTTTCAGCTTTTTATGCCTTCTATTGAATGTTTTTCATAGGAAAAGCCAGGCAGAACCCCAATCTTGGTTTCGTCATAACTAGAGAGGCATTTGGCATCTGAGAGGCATGAGGCATCTAAAGTTAGAATTTGTTTAGTAACTTGCTTCAGTCAGGTCATCAAAGCTCAAGGCTGAGTGAACGTGATGGATGTTGGCCATGTACTAATGTTGTCTCTCTCTTCCTGTTGCTGTGATCTTGTCTTTCAGCAAGTTCAATCACCAAAACATTGTGCAGTGCATCGGTGTTAGCCTACAGACGCTGCCTCGCTTCATTCTGCTTGAGCTTATGGCTGGAGGAGATATGAAGAGTTTTCTTCGGCAGAACCGACCCAGGGTGGTAAGATAATTTCCCTGCTAGGCTTGTGGTTGTTTTTAGTATGGCTGGTTTTACTTATCTTTATAAATTATATAAAGGCACTGAAGCCCAGCAGGGCTGTTTTTGTGTCCCAGCTCCTACAAACCCCCAGACACACGTCCATTTGCTTGAATTGAGCAAGCAAGGCAGTGAGAGAAAATGAAAGCAGTGCCAGAACTCTAGTCTACAAGTAACTCAGGAAGAAAGAATAAAGTCCTGTCCTGCCACTCCAGAGTTTTCTGTCAACTGGAGTACAAACAAAGGGGCTTTCTTTCCTCAGTATCTGCCTTATTTTCTCTGCACTGTGATAGTGTATGAGGAGCTGAAGTCAGAACACTGCTACCCAGTAATGGGAATTTGCAGCACTAGGTCCTCTGCAGGTGTACATCAGCATCATATAGATATACAAATTTACACTCCCTGAAGAGCTGTGTCTACATGTAGCACTGTGACAGGGATTTAAATCAATGTAAATGAATGAATTTACCAAGTCAAATCTTTGTGTTTTTTTGTTTTTTTGTTTGTTTGTTTGTTTAAAAAAAAAGAGGGGGGAGGGGTCACAAATTATCTCTGATTTCTGGTATTATTGATGTCAACCAAGTATAGTGGGTATTTGGAATGAATGATCAATAGCCAATTCCAGATACGTGTTCTTGCTTTTTAACAGTGTGTTCCTGGACACTTCTATGAAATGAGTGCCTATCTCTGTTTGAGTGGGGACTTAAAAGTAAAAGCTATACACAATTCTCTCTCTTTCTTATGTATGTATGTATTTATTTATGAGGTGAAGGAGAAATGACTGGTGCCTCTTGTACTCCTACACCACAGTTACACAGCTTCTCCTCTGCACACATACACCCCAAATAGCTACAACAATGTATAGCTTCATGTGTATATAATCCTATGCCAATATTAATATGTTGTTAAAAGATCTAGCTTAATCCCTTCCTCATACAGCAGTAAATATACTAATTAGGCACACTTACAGTGGTAAAACAGCACCCACGCAGAGGAGTTTGTGTATCTTTAATTCTGCCATTTATAGTGAAAGTGGTACAGTTTCTGTGAGTAGATAAAGTCTGGGGGAAACAGAGAATAATAAATACTCTTCTTTGTATATAAAGCATAGCTGTAATATGAAGAACTGTTATTTCTTAAATATCATGTGAAAACAAACCTGCCACTATGTTAGCTGTTATGTTAGTAGATAGCAAATATAATAGTTGAATTCCCCTCAGTACACCAACAATGACCCTGTGCACCTTTTCTGAAAACAGAACTAGCCCCATCATTAAAGTATTTCACTACCAGTTTCCATGGCTGCAAAGAAAATGCATGTCCATCAGTCTTCTGACAGAGGGATCCCAGAGCAGAGATAAGGTCTCGAAGCCTGTGGTACTGTATCTCCTCCTTCATTTCCTCCCCATTTCCTCAGCAGAAATTCCTGCTTTATAACTATAATAATTCTTCCTGGCAGATGTCCAAGAGCTTTGTACAATGACTTGCCTAGCCAATAAAAATAGTGCTCAGTGGCTGTAGTGTGGTTCAAGCATGAGAAATTACAGAGATAACAGCATCCAGAAACAAAAGCAGTTTGAAAAGAACAATTTATTTGGTATCTCTCAGGCTTTTGATGAGCAATGGAATATTTTTTCCCCACCCTTCCCAAGAGCAATACAGAAGTTCTTGGAGAAACACCAAGGAAATTTCCCTGCAGGGAAATAAATGACTGTATGAAAATAAGCAGGGCTCCTGGAGAGAGATTTCTTTATTGTTGTTAGTTAGGGAAATGTAGATTGTGATGGGCTAGTACCAGTCCCAAAGTCCGGTGATAAAGCATCTGTTTTCTCCATTTTCTGTATGCTGCCCCTGAGGGTATTTATTGTTTGCCCTCCCACAAGAACAGATAAGTTGATGAATGCTGATTGCTGGTGCAGAGATGTGCATTTATGCATCTTTACTCTCCCTCTCTCCGAGTTCATTTGCTAATTTATTAACTCTTTAAAAGTGTTGTTTGTTTGTTTGTTTGTTTTCCCTCCCATTTCTCTTTTTAAGCCTGTTTATCTTTTGATTTCATAAAGCCCAACACCACTAGGGAACAGTTCTCTCCCATGCCCTTTACTCGGCTATTCAGGCCAGACCATAAATCTCTCACAAGCTTGTACTCAAGCACTGTGCTCTAGAGAACTGAAATCTTCAGAAAAATTCACTAATTTTCTAACTCTTCATTTTAATTTGATTGTGTTCCTCTTTGTTCCTGACTCATCCAGCCTTTCCCCAACCATGTCTGTGTATCTCTATCCCTTTCCCTTTGCTCCTCTCTGATTATCCTCTGCCTCTACTACATTCTTCTTGTCTACTATTATTCCCTTACCATTTTGTTTTTTCTTTTCCAGAATCAACCACCCACACTAACAATGCAGGACCTGCTGAACATAGCTAGGGATATTGCCTGTGGCTGTAAATATCTGGAAGAGAATCACTTCATCCACAGGTGAGGAGAAACAGTCCCTTCCGACATACATCCCCTGAAAGTGTGCTAATTTCTATTGCAATTTCTGTTTGCAGTGCTTTGGTAGGAGTTAGGCTCTGCACCATTCTTAGCACTGTTGGAGAGAAAGGGGTCTTCCCACTGTGAATGTTTTCAGGTGGTTCAAGTTTTTTCAATTTTCAGGTGCCTACACTGTAGACACGTTTGAAATTATCCCTGTAGTCCACTAGATGGTAGTGTCATTCTGTTAGCTTGTAAAAGAATAAGGTACCATTTCTCTCTTTTCTGATCTGCCCGTCCCATCAGCAGAGGACAACCCATAATATTTGAGCCTTTGTCTTACAGTAAAGTAGAGCAGGAATAACAGGAGGAGAAATACCCAAACTCAAATACTTCCTTCCCAACAGCTGGCCTGCTGTGTGATTTTGAGGAGAACATTGTCTGTTCACTCCTTTTTCCCTCCTTTGTTCAATAAGAAAACATTGATATGGTAGGCTTCAAGTATGAATAAAATATAGAAGAGGTACAGGTTTTTATAGGTAGCTTTTTAAAAATTCCCTGTTGGATGCTGGACTGTTTTTGCTTTTGATTAAGAATTGTTTCAGCTGTTCTCAGGCATAGCATGCATTCCTTCCTAAGCGTGAACTCCATGCTGAGTTTGGCCCTTGTCTGTAAAGGAAAGGAGAGGAGAGGCCTCCACCCCAGAGGGTTGTGCAGGCTCCAACTAAACCTATGTGCAGCCCGGAGTTATGCAAGCAGAGAACTGATTCACCCCCACAAACAACCATGTGTACGTACACATGACATTGTACAGAGCAGAGGCAAGGGTGGGTAGAGACTGGAGAAATGGAGGGAAAGAAGTGACAAGCAGCACTGAGAGCAAAAAGCCATGAGCTTGAGAGATGGGATGTTATAAACTTATAACGTTCATCTGAGACAGCAACTGAAAGACGTGAAATCTTTTGCCATGTCTGCCACAGGCTTGGGATGTGGCCTCAAGTCTTGACTTGAGTCTCCTCCTCCCCAAGTGCCTCAATTCCATACACATTAAAATGGGCATAAGAATATAGTTAGTTTAAAGTTTAGCAGGTAAAGATTTAGAACCTCTCAACCAGTAGTGATTAGTAGTATGTGTAAGTGAAGAAAAGTGCAATGTAAAAGGATTTTGTCTGGGCACAGCTGAAGAGGTGATGGCAGGGGACCTCTCTTCCTCCCTCCATCTCAGGTGAACCAGGGGGTTGGCTGGATGCAAAGGACAGTGTGTGCGGCATGTATAGGAAAGCTCTGTGCGTCAGGCTGCCCGGCAGAGCTCTTGTGCTGACAAGTTTCCGAGTAAAGGCTGACGAGAAGAAGGGGCTGTGTGGGTCCCTGAAAGCTGGAAGGCCAGGGCAAGTATCTGGAGAACACAGGGCCTCAATGCTAGAGAGCCTTTATGAGGGTCACTTCAGGGTGTATCTTTGGCAGTGATCTGGCCTGAGACTGACTGGAGGTAACCAGGCTCAGTTTTATACGGTTAGATCTCTAGTATAAGCAACCTGGGAAGGGACTCACTTTGTTCTAGCCAACAGTTCAGCAAATCGGTATAGAAGGAATTTCATTCAGATCTTGTATCAGTATTTGTTAGCATCATCAGTATTATTTAAGAGTTAATGGACGTGGAATCCAAGGAAGCCTATCAGGACCGGTAAGAGGCATAGCAGGGGGAAACGTAGTGTAGTGGAGTTGTGGAGATGTCACTAACGGCAGGTCTTGTCACGTAAGAGTCACAGATGATGATGAAAGAGAAGGCTAAGCTTGAATTCCAAATCCTGCGGGACTTTTCAACGCTGGCAGTGGGAAGGAACGTGTTAGTTGTTTGAGGAGCTCATTTTTCTTGGCAGTCAACAGGACCCCCACAGTGCTATGATTTTTAATGAGTCCCGTCCCTTTTCAGAACACACATTTAAAATGAATACAAACCCTTCAGTCATGGCCATGCAGTCATCCCTACTGTTCGTCACAAGCTAAACCTGCATCCAGCAAATGGCTGCTCCCATATGTAGCCTTGTTTGGTTCCATGGGAGATTGCCAGAAGCAACAAAGCAACAATTTACTGAATCTGGTCCCACACTGACTTTTCAAGCAGTTTACTAAGACTTTCTCATAGCATCAAATCTGTCACTGATAGAGGCACTGCTGAGATGCCATTGAAAAACACTCTTTTAAAAAAAATAGAGCATAAAGTCATAATGGGGTTGTCATGATGGGATTGAAGCAAAAGAGGTTGGATCCGTAACTTCTCTGACACTGACCCTGCTTTCTGCCTTAGTGAAAGAAGGTGGTAGTGGGTAATGCTCGGAGAACACTGAACAGAAAATGTAATGCAAATGTAGTTTAATGCTTGTGGTTATCGAAAATAATAAAGTAATTAGCATTAGTTCTTATTTTTAATAAGGTTCTCTTCATTTGTTGTAAGGATGACTCAACTGAGACTTGCAGGACTGGGTTTAAAATTCTTTCTCTATTCCCTTAGCTACTTAAGAGTTTAAAATTGGATTATAATTAATTATTTATTTATTTATTTTTAAAGGGATATAGCTGCAAGGAATTGCCTTTTGACCTGCACTGGGGCAGGACGAATAGCCAAAATTGGTGACTTTGGGATGGCCAGGGATATTTACAGGTAAGTGAAAGGCTGTTTGTCGTATGAATAACTGAGTAATCATCATCAATTTCAATGGTTTGAATTGCCTCATGGAATTTGAAGCAGCTGAATTGTCTGTTACACGTCTGAATCTGATTTCCAGTTAACTGACTGGAGTTAACAGACTGTAAATTAATACATATGCCTACTGGCCAATGCACTTCAATTGGCTTATTCCAGACTGAGCCATAGAGAACACTGCAAACACATGTGGTTGCTAAACTAAACACAGGCAAATTTATTGGATAGCTGACCACATGCCATCTTAAACTAATAAATAAATAAATAAGTCCATAATTCTAAATTTATGATGTCAAGAAGATTTGCTGTATCAATGCCCTGTGCAAAGCATCAGCAAATTTGATTTCTTCAGCTATGAACCTACAACATCCTCAGTCTCCACCCCAGCTGCAGCCATGGTATAAAATGCTGCTCAGAAGTACTATTTGTGTTGATGTCTCTTTCTCATTTGGCCCCTGTTGCTGCAGCCACTCTCTCCAGCTCCTGTTGCTGTGGTGATAGGATCTTTTATACACCTCAGCCCTTTCAGACTGTGTGACATTTTGCATGCATTTAATCTTTTCCAGAGCAAGTTACTATCGCAAAGGAGGAAGAGCTATGCTTCCTGTCAAGTGGATGCCACCAGAAGCTTTTCTAGAGGGTATTTTCACCTCCAAGACTGACACCTGGTAAGAAATGTCTATTAATGAACTCTGCTACTCACTGATAAGGGTCCAGATATTTACTGCTTAAGAAAAAATGTCTGTTCAACAGGAACCCTTAAAGATATCAGAATTTCCCATGTCCTAAAAAGAAAAAAAAAAAAAGAAAATATATATATATCTTCCCTCTGCACTAACTATGGCTAAAAAATTCCATGTGAGAATTTAAAAATCTAATGTAAATGGAGGGCACAACAAACAGCCATAGATAAATGCAGAGTATCATAGAAGGGTAATCAAGAAGTACAAAGAGAAGAAGAGTCCCAAGAATTCTCAGTTAAAAATTCAGACAAATGCATAAAATACAGGCCAATACCATCACACGCTTCCTTCTGCTGTTAGTATCTGCCACTCAAGTTTTTATTGGTGGCAAGGCCCACTCATGCCTCTTGTATACTCTCTATACCATGCAGCATTACTCTTTTGTATCATTTTTTTTCTGTTATATATAAAGTGACAGCAGATCTAAGTAGAAGTCTTTGCTGGTTGCTGAGGAAACAATATTTATATACTGACTCTTCATGCAACCTGATCTTTCTTTAAAATGAGCTCCCCCTCAACAGTGACACATTCATGCCAAGGTGCTGGCGATGGAAGTTTTCCAGTTGCTTAAGAACGCCTCTCTTCCTATACAGTAGATTCTTCAATATACTGAACTGAGACATTACCTTAAATGCCACACTGACCCAGTTTCCTGAAGTTGCTGGTGATGCCAGAAGACAAGGGATTGTGTATCAGAATATAACTGTGAGCAGCCAGTACTAAATATTTTGAAGGAAGGTATTACAGTTCCTGTAATAGGCTGTTAGAAGCAATGTGCATGTACTGACAATTTCATCCACCTTTGCAGCAAATATTGACTTGTCAAATTCTGTTGCTACTGAAGTCCTTGCAGAACCCTCTTAACTTCCCTGGGTCTAAACTGTTAGTCATTTTCTGTGGCACTGCCTAACTGACCTGTAGATGTGGAGGAAAACAAACAAACAAACAGAGGAGAGCTACAATATCATAACACAAAAAAATAGATGTTGCAAAATAGATGTTGCTGCCTTTCAACTTGGTCTTGGAGGACTCTGACTCTTGTTTTTATTCCTGAGCACCCTCTCCCCAGACACTGATTCAAACATCTTAAGTCTTTCAAAGTAAGGTAAGAATCTCCATGCTAAATGTAATGGTTCTTCTTTTCAGTTACACCATACAAAGGGTTGTGGCATTTTCTGTTCTAGAAATAACAAATGCAGCAGAAAGAGCAACTTCAGAATTATTGAAATATGCTGAAACCTCTGCAAAGCTGCTTTCGGAGCTTGAGCATGGGTTTTAATCATTTTTTTTATATCAAGGTTGGCTTATAATCATGTTAATTGCACGTTACTATGGTTGTCCTACAGCTTCTAAAGGTTGTTGCTGTCATTTTACTTTGTGGAGCACAAATGAAACCTAATTGGTACTGTTGGCTGGTTTCTGACATAGGTCCTTCGGTGTGCTGCTCTGGGAGATCTTCTCTCTGGGCTACATGCCCTATCCTTGCAAAACCAATCAGGAAGTGCTGGAGTTTGTCACCAGTGGAGGAAGAATGGACCCACCAAAGAACTGTCCAGGGCCAGTGTAAGTATTTCCTCACTCCTTCAAGTTAAGGGATAGTGGATACCAAACAGGTTAGAAGGCAGCTAGACACCTTCAGTCAGGGAATGGTGATTGCCCCAGCTACTACTCAGGTATTACTGCACATTTCTTAAGCCACTGCCTCTTGTACACAACTTAGAACACTGCAGGATTTGCTATAAGTAGTGGTCCCCTAATGACTTGGGATCCAAGGACACAGAAATGACGTATCTACTTTTGCTTTCCTCCCTAGAGCCATGTACTGAGTGCAGTTCTTCTGGACCCATGATCACTTCATACTGAAACACATTTTTCATCATTATCTTTCTTAACTGATACTTTTCTATTCCTCCTTCATTTTAAGGTACCGGATCATGACACAGTGCTGGCAGCACAGCCCAGAGTACCGGCCAAACTTCTCCACCATCCTGGAAAGAATCAAGTATTGCACACAGGTATTGGCCCGTGGTAGGCATATGGATGATAATCCACAGAGTGCCAGGCACCCAAAGACACCAGTATTAGTGCACTAAAACAAGATTACGACTCCTGACAGACCGATCTAATTGCTTTCCCACCTGTGATGGTGCTATTGGCTCACCTGCTCTTTTCATTTATGTTTTAATGTATCCTAGCTCTCCCATCTACAATGCATCCAAAATGAATGTATATTGTAGCAAGTGGCTAGTTCCAGCTCTCAGCTTGTTCAGGAGCAAAATGTCCTTCATTTTGTGACGGAAGGGTACTCATGTCTTTCAAGGTCCATATTCTGACCTTGTCTAGCGCTTCTTGAAAGCCATGGCTGAACTGGTACGGGGGTGAGGGGGAGATGGCACAGTGAGTTCACCATCTGGTAGCATTTTTACAGCTAGACTCCTGGATCCAACCTGCCAGAGAACAATACAGACCCGGTGACCCCCAGCCTAGCTGCTGATTTCAATAAAGTACAGCTGCTATTCAAAGGAAGCGCATAAACAAGAGAGCATTTTTGCATGTCCTAACAGCACGCAGCATGCTTATATGATGTGCAGGAATATTGACCAAACCTGATGTCAGTCTCTGCCAGAAGTTGTTTTTTTTTGTTCTCACAGCTATTTCTCTGAAAATGCAGGTGTGTCAGTCACCCTGAAGGTGCTCAAATGGTAACACTTTTTGTGCAATCCTCTCTCCTCTAGGACCCTGATGTGATCAACACCGAGCTGCCCGTGGAGTGCAGCCCAGCACCAGAGGATGAAGGGAGCACGGTTATGCGCCCAAACATTTCCAGTGGGATGGTGCCGCTGCTGGTGAGCCCTTCTCTCACACCTCAGACAACACCTAAAATGCTGGACTCCCACCATGCTGGGCACAAACTTGTACAGTGTCCACAAGAGCTACTGGTGGAGAACCTGAGCAACCGGACTGCTCGAGGACCCAGCCTGCCATGCCTCAGTGATTTCAACAGTGGGTCCTGGATCCATCAGACTTCAAACCAGAAGTTAGAACTCAGCAATCCACCAACCCACAGACTGAAGAACAAAACAAAAAACCTTTGGAACCCAACCTATGGATCATGGGTGCTAGAGAACATCTGTCACTTGAGCCCCACCTCCAAGCTGAAAGCAACTCCAGAGCGAGAAGATTCAGGCTTTGATGGGAACTGCAGCTCTTCTCCTAGTTCTCGGGCATCTCCAGCATCTCCAAGTCGAAGCAACTGCCCTCACTTGGATATTGGTGGGATTGAACTGGTGAAACTCCAGACTTTCCCCTGTGGCAATGTAAATTATGCCTACGATGATCTGTGCTATAGCACTGACCACCAGCCATCAGTTTTGGCAGGGGTCAGAGCAGCTGTGCTAAGGAGCTCCAGTCTGCATACAGATGAGAAGCCTTTGTACAAAACAGAGAAAACAGCAAGAGAGAGGGACTCTGGTCTGTCTTTGTCAGATGACCTGAATGTTACACCAGTATAACAGAAAAGATTCTTCCAAAGATCAGGGAACATGCGTGTCAGGAAGAGCAAACTTGAACTGCTTCCTATTTTATTTACTTCCTCCATTTAAGTTCTTTCAGATGGGTGATGTTTCAACATCAGCAATGATCTGCTTCTTTCTTCTACCTGCCAGATTCCCAAATCATTAAAGACAGTTGCATTTCTATTTCTGTCCATCAAGAGTGTTCCACTGGACCAGCTTAGCTATGGAGGACAAACGGCATTGCTGCTCTGATTCAGAATACAACACCTAATGGAAGAATTCCTCCTCAATCTGCTCAGGTGAAAAGAAACAGACCTATCATCCAACCACAGTGTTTGGATGAAACAATGACCAACAGAGGTTGCCCTTCTGTCTGACTTATGAAACCAAAAACGCATGCTGTGCCAGCAGCAACCACCGTGCAAAGGCTTCTATATTCCCTAGAGCTTTTTGCCATCCTGATGACTTGCTAATGATGCTCATGCAGCAACAGGGATGTAAATAAATAGCAGCTACATTTGCATCTGTTTCATTAGCAGACCATGTGGAAAAACATGAAGCTACTGCTCAAATTGGAAGCAGCAGGAAGAATGAAAAAAAAAATCCAGGATCCTCTGAGCATGTGTTTTGAAAACAAGCGATGAAGAGGAAAATACATTTACTATTAAAAAAAATAGTTGGAGTTGATGGCATCCATTTGAATAGTGAAGAAAATATGCTGTTTACCTCATGGTGTTGAGTTCTTCACAGCTCCTGGTGTGGAAGGGGCAGGTGGTTTTCCAAGAAAGGGTGAGCTGCATGGGATGATGAAAAATGACTGTCATTATCTTTAATGGACTTTTCTTGGGATGAACTTCATTTTTGTAAGTACTTCAATATACAGCAGTAATTTCCTGTGCTATGTTGATAATCATTAAGCTGAAGTTCTAGGGTAACTGAGTAGTGTTTGGCAGGCTGGAGTTGTAATCCGTACACCTCTGAGGTAGGAACCGGGGTAATGCAAGGGGGTGGGGGTAGAGTGAAGGGGAACCCATTTAGTGCAAGCACTACCTTACAGTGCTCCTTCCACAGCAAGACAGAATAGCTCAACCACTTGAGAAAGCTAAAGCCATGCCTTGGCTTCACACACCTGAGCAGACTGTCATTTCTTCTAGCCTTTGACTTGCTGGTTAAGGAAGCTGTTGTTTGTTCTGAAGAGAGATGATTTCTAAGGCTTTCTTCTGCTGTTTAGGGTCTAAACTGATGTTTACTGGTTAATGCCTGCAGAACAAGGAGACTGAAAAAGTAAATCATTTTGATTAAGCCAGAACAGTCTCAGAAGCATTTTGTCCTCATCCCACTCCTGAAGGTTGCACTACCAACTTGCGATGGCAAATTACGTGCTGCCTTCACAGGTAATCAAGTTGTATACCACAATGTCAGTTGTAGACTGTCTTGCTCTCTTCTGAGGGAAGAGGTGCCCTGGTGCAGGCGTTGTGTGTGGTGATAGCTGTATGCACAGTCTGAAGATGGGGATTGGCAGGAGTTTGCTTTGATCACAGATTTCACATGCTCTGCGTCATTCAGGGGTGGTCACTGTAGATGTGTGGTACAGAACAGCACAGAGTGAAGTCTGAATCCACCTCTTGTCAGTGAAGTGCACACCTTCAGCTCAGGTTTCATGCTTTGTCTGGCTTTGTATTTGCTCCTAGCTTCCTATAGTTCTATACATACCTCTGGCTTTAGAATGAGTAGTTTTATATACTCTCATTTCCAGATCTGATTGGTGATGATGGTACCCTTTTAACAATGACTGTATGGTATGGAAAAAATCCCATATCCATGTTGTGAAGTGACGGGTGGCCAGGGCAGCTACTTACCCTTTTGGCTCATTGCCTGTCCTATCTTAATGGCCATAAGCTGCTACAACCAGGCTAGATGAGGCAGAGTTAGCAGGAAATTTGCGTACTCATTCTTTCCCCCTGCAGAGGCTAACATTTTTGGTTGTATCTCAGGAAGGCCACCTCTGCAACCTGCTTGTCAAGAATAAATAGACCTAATTTTAGCTAGTTGGATTAACACCAGCTCACCTTCAACAACCTTACCTTTCGGTTTATGTTAGCCACGTGGTTTGTGCTGTAGTTATTTTTCACCCAAGGGTGAGCTATCAAACTCACCAACTGTTGTGAATGGGCACCAGCAACTTGGGCCCTGTCTCCCTGCGTATGAGATAAGACTGCAGCAGAGCGCAGTGGTCCTAGCTCAGCCGCAATGGATGCGACTTGAGATCACTTTCCAGCACTTGTTTGTAACAGGCTCTGCTCTGAGCAGAGCACTGGTGGCCATGACCATGCTTTTGCAGATGAGTGGCAACTCTGCTTTGAGTTCTCCTTAGCAGTCACCATGGGGTGGAGTGAAATATGGACTTGTTTAGAAGTCATAGGAAGTTGAGAATTTACCACCTTTTCTTCCTGTATACTTTTTATAAGGTAGCAGGCAATAGACATTTCTTAAACGTTTATGTGGAAATTATTATACAATAACTCTAGGATTCCAGCAGGAAGCAGGTAAGATCCCTACTCTACATGGTTACCCACCTTGAGCTACCATTGTTTTCCCCATACGCAGAATTTGCTTCAACTTAATTGAATTTAGAAAGGCAAACAGTGATAAAATGAGGTAAGATATTGAAAAATTAAGTGAGAAGATAGTAAAGCTGGAACTACAGTTTTTCTACTATTCACCAATGTGAATAGTAGATGTGCAAGATTTATGTGTCACTCTCCTAATTTTACTCATAAAATTTGAGTTTGTCAGCCCAGCACTTTAGACAACATACGTGTTTTTACTGAATAGTTGAGTTAATGTGCTTAATTACAGGAAGAACAGAGAAAAAGCTGTGCTGAGCCACAATAAAACTCCATTGAGCCCAGTATGTTATCTCTGAGACTGACCAACAGTGGGGGTGTTGAAGGGCAACCGTAAGTGTATAATGAGTGTGTAGTGATTATTTCCTACACGTACTTTTCTGGTTTACAACAGCATGCAGCTCAGGGATGTACTGAGTCAGATGCAATGTCCTGCAACAAGACAGAACATCGATCTTCACGTACTAAATGGGCACTGAAAGAAATAGCTGGGAATTTTAGAAGAAATTACGTTAGCAACCTGCATTTTTATATGCTCTTAACTCCCTCAAATGGAAATAAAGGTAAACAAACTTTGGTCAGTATAGTTGCCATGAACCTTTGACCCGTAACAGTTTTTCTGTATCTGATCTCTTAGCTACTTTATAAAAACCTTCACAATAATGATTTTTAATGAAGATAGTGAAGGAAATAATAATATTGCTCCTACAGTGATGCTGAAATGCAATATGCTGTCCAAACCATATTATACTACAGCCTTCAATTTCTACAGTTCTGAGACTGACTGTTCGTTCATACAATCACAGATTTTATAGTGTCCAAATTCTACCATTTCAAAACACCATTTGCTTCAAATTGTTTTTTTAGGAGACGCACCTAGTGCATAATGAATGAGCTGAATCCATATTGTCAAGGTTAGATTACTTTTTCAATTGAAAGCAAAAAACGATTTTGTTTCCTAGAGAAGTGACGTGAGCTGTCGACTGGGATTAACCCATACTCCATATGAGAAGTCTTCCAACAGTTCCCCACTAGAGAATCAGCCATCGATAGGAATATAATATTTTTTTCTTCCTGTTGGGTGTCTGTGTTTTAACATACTCTATCTAACAGTTTATTTTTAGGTGTGTGTATGTATAGGTGTTTTTTTCTTTTGGATGTTAGTACTTTATGTTGCTTCATACAGCCTCATCTCTACTACCTTTTAAAGAGGACTGTATAAGGAAAAAGATGAAATAATACTGCAAATTTCAATTTGCCTTTCTCTTTGCACATTTGTTGATACTCTTGCTTCCCATTTCTTTAGCTTTTTTCTCTTCTACTTCAAGTGTTTTGCATCTTCATTTTCCCTTTAAGCAGACAGAACTTTTAACTGTGCATAGATTTAAGGTGTCCCACTTGTTCATACCCTTTTCCTGAGGTACATGTAAGTTCTCTCCTAATTTCCTAACAGTGCACAACTGCCCAAAACAGCTTCACAAGTATAATTAAATAGTTACAGGCTTTTCCAAGTGTAACTTATTCCACCTCCAAGACCCTTCCCCTCCTTACCTGAAAGAGAAGAGAACTGCTGGGAGTCCGGTCTTCCCCAAAGTATTTGCATCTCCTCAGCTGTGTCAGGCAGGGCTCACACTTCCGCAGACCCTCGAGCAGCTGAGCTGTGCCAGACCCTGCAGACGCGGGGTTCTGGCTGCCTACAATTTCCAATCCGATGCAGACACCTTAGGCATGGTATCACTAACATGTCAGTCTCATCACATGACATTTTCACTGAAATGAACTGGTTTTGATTTGTTATTACCTCTGAACAACGCCGTACTTCTTGACAACTTACCTTTTTGGGTGACTACTGTACACAAGTAGATGACAAGCCTGCTTCTATGCAACTTAAATTTGGACAAATGTACACTTTATATTTGCAACACAAAATAAAGAGACACTAGTGGTGACTGCTTGTTTCCCTCTACGTTAAATACACTTTGCACACAGGTGAGAGAACCCAGTCTTACTGAGAAATGTTGCCAGTCCAGGAGGACTGACTCCAGGAACAGAGCACTGCTTGCTCCTTGCTGCCACACAAGACCACCCTGTGGAAACAAATGCCCTGAGTGTGCAAAGTGCCTTTTGCCGCATTATTTTTAAATATACTGGAGGAATGGGATTCTTGAGACAGAACTTACCTCCATGGAAGCTGTCAAACGGAGTGTGGACAGGGCTCTGAAGCACATGTTCCAAATGGCATTGGGAACCAAGTTCCAACGTTAGCTTCTAAAGGTCTTAGAACCAGTTTTGTTTTAGGAAATATTAGATGCTAAAGACTAGAAGCAGTCTTTGCCCTTTTTTTCCTTCAGTCTCATTTATTTATTAGCATACACACTTCAGAGTAACAAACAGTCAATACAGTCAATGTCAAAAGTGACCATGGTCAGCATTGCATTGTAGTGTTCAGAACAGATGCACTGTGGATGATACAGGCCATTTGATCTCAGTACCATAACAAATAATAACAACAGCAATACAAAAAAATAAAAAATAGCAAGAGCCCTCTGAGATACTTAAGGGTTTGGTCCAACTCCCATCAAAATCTTTCCCTATCACAGGAACTGGATCAGATGGTAAGTGAATATTCCACATGTATTAAATAAAGAGGGATTTATCTTGTATCACTTTGGTTAAATTTAATCCAAATTTATATCTGGGGGAACCTTACTTAACACCTATCATTTAAAAACTTATCTGATGCATTTGTTTGTTTATTTCTATACTGCACCTTCCTCCAAAGAATCTCACAGCATCTTGCAAGCAATAATGAAATACAGCCTCACACCATTCCTGTGAGGTAAGTACATACTATTCCCATCTGTAAAATGGGAACAAAACTGAGGCCTAGGATAGTTATCCAAGGCCAAAAAGCAAGTCATTGTCAAAGCTGGGGCAGAGAAGTCCTAGTGCTAGCTTCACACAGGCATGCAGCAGCTACAGTACCAAACATCTGACGTACTGAGCATCTAACTAGTGAGTTTAATGACCTTGGTGCCTAACTCAGAGGTTAGCTGCTCAGCACTAAGGTGCCTCTGGACCAGCATATCTTACCATGCTGTGGAAACGCATGTGATTTCAGCGTCTCCAGAGTGAGGCAACACCTCAGCAGAAGCATTAAAGAACTGTGTTCTAGACTTGTATGTGAGCAAGTGCCTTGGTTGTCATGCATCAGCTCTATACAGTAAATGCCTGTGCAAAGGCACCATGTTGATCCTCCCATAAATACAATCTTGTTCAAGGCAACTTACCCCATAGTAAAAGAAAGCTATGCTGCTTCCTCACAGTAGCACATGCGTGTACACACTGGGACTTCTGCTGTGAATCAAGGTATCTAACTTACCCTGTGATAATTTGCTCGTAGGCACCTAGCCTCCAGCCCCTGAGAGCTCCAGTCCTCATTTGCAGTCCTACACTTGGCATTTGCTAATGAAAAGCTTCCTCCTTTTCGCTTTTCCTGTAACAGCAGCAGAATGTTAGATTGTGGTTTCTTCCTCTCTAACCCTTTGACAAGCCAAAGGGCCCTTTCAAAACAAACTTGCTAAAACTATTTAGCATCTAGAATGGGTTTCCAGAGCAGGGACTGCTATAGCAGAGGTTTTCTATTTTTCTGACCTCTCCAACTACTGCACAGCAATAAAGCACTTGCCATGTTTTCCCCCAAGACTATATACTGCAAACCATCCTTTGAGGTGCTAGCAGCAGTCAGTTTTTTTGGAGCTACTGGTACCATACTGCTTCTACTTCTCTTTTAAAACTGCACATTAATTCTAAAAGTTTGTCTCAAAGACCCAAGTAACATTTGAGCATCAACTAACTTTTACGTTCTACATCCTCCTCCCGCACCCCACCCCCAAAAATAAGTTGTACTGGTACAAAAGGTTCATACATGTGATAACAAAAAAAGAAAGAATTCATCTCTAAAGGGTAATTAGGCAGACTACTAATGAATTGTATCACCTTAACAGTCTCATGTCTAACTTCTCTAGTTTATTTTTTCCCTCTCTGAAATTGAAGTCTTATACACAAGGTCTTGTTATTAAAGTCCTCTCCTGTAAGACCCATTTACCTCCTTTTCCCTTTAAGTATTGCTAACTGATGGTTTGTTTACCTATTGGCTGCAGGAAAGGAGGAAGTTGTTTTTGTTTTTTTTTTTTTAATTAAGCGTATGAAAGTCATCACAGATTGATTTGTCATCTCATAGCAATTTCAAAGTTAGGAGGCATCTGGAATGCTAATATGTGTGCTTGCTGTTGAAGGCTCACCACAACTTTAAAAAAAATGCATTAACTCTTTGAAACAGCTAATAAAAAACCTGAAAAAGTGGAAAATTCATTAGCGTACTATCATGAAAATAAACCCGAGAAGGACTCTGGGATGCCATAGAAGAAACTTGTATTTGCAGTGAAATGCCAAAATTACCTGTTTCAAACAATTTCTGTTTAAGGATGCAATGTCTCCATGCCTCACTATTTCCCACAGTATACCCACTTTATGCCCTCTAACTTTCAGGCCACAATCAAGATCGAGTTTTAATACTGCTGTTTTGTTTAGAGGTGATGAAAAAGGTATTAGAGCTGATCGCTTAGTACAGTAGTGTGCTATCTAAAGTAACTCTTTTGTGTTGTTTTTTTTTATTTTTTTTTTATAAATTCTTTTAGGCCCGTCAATATTAATTACAAATGTTATAGCTGCATTTCATGCCAGAGCTGGACTGTACACGTGTGGGGTTTTTTTATGCTCACAGTCATGAATTACTTGAAATAGCAGTTTCCCAAAGCACAGAGTTACCTTCATATATCCTAAAGTTCTTGGAATCGCATCCGAGGACAGGACACTGGCAAGAGAGAGCAATTTCTGATCAATATGCATTACCAGCTTAAGATGTTAACAGGGAATTAATCAAATACTAATATAAGTCTTGTCCTCATTTTGGAAACTGCATTATCATATTATTTATTCATATTATTTATACTAAAACCTGGAATGTGAGTGAACAGGTGAATACTGATAGTATTTATACTGCTACTATTTAAAAAACTGTTCAAGTGGCTAGAGGCAACCAACAGCAATGGTAGGTGAAGCCATTAAAAGAAAATGCATCATTTCAGTATTTCTGGATTTTAATCTAAACACTGAGGTTGTGCCTGGGCCACAGTGAAAAAAAAACTAAGCACAAGTGGCCCTGTGATTCCAGACAGGGATTAGGGGATGTGATGCATTGACATTCCTCCTCCCAAACTGCTCTGAGTTAACAGCTGATACCTTGGAGAAAGGATGCCTGGGAATTGTCATTAGTGTAATGCTGTGAATGCAGAAACATTACCTTCCTGATCACTGCTCCAGTCTGTGCACTTACGTGACAGCATCATACTTGGGAACAGGAATATGGCCAAGAAGTCACCTCTTTCATGTGCATTAGAAGACAGTCAAACTATGATCTGAAGAGATCACAGTGGTTGCTGGCTACTAGTGCGTGCAGGTGTGTGCATGTGTAGGGGCTTTACCTTAAAAATAAACAGCCTTGAAAAAAACCCTTGGTTCCCCAGTCTGTGTGCCAGAGTGTTATTACTGATTTTCAGAACTGCAGTTCAGCCACAAGAGGCCAAACTTGCCAAGCTAGGCACTTTTCCAGCAGCCCACCCAGTCTGAAAGTCAAATGTTTTTGGAGACAACAGTCTACTATTCTCTCCCTAGAGTATCTGTAATCTCCTGAGAGGCTACATAAAAACCAAGGCTGTTCTTGGACAGAAGTGAATTGAGGCTAGGGTGGGGAGAGGACTGATCAACAGCAGTTACCACATCCAGCTACTACAAACTGTTGTCTCCCTTTGCTCCAGGTTTCTTCTGATTATCACCAATCTCCACCTTGTGCACACCTATAACACAATGCAGCAGCTGTTGTTGGTCCAACCTATAGTATACACAAGAGCAAGGAGACTTGGAATTAGGGGAAAAAACACTCCTGCTGGTTTCAATACTATGCAGTTCCCTGAAAAAATGTTATTCCTACCCTGAATCCCCAATCACTTGCTCTTGTTTACTAAGAGGTAATCCGGAGTCCCATCTGTTTGCCAGAAATCAGAATCATTCTGGTTTACCATACAGACCTCTTGACTCATGCTGGTGTGATTCCTGAGTACGGAGACCTTGATTCTCTGAAGACCAGCCTGAAGTCAGGCTGGTGCAATACAGACCAATCTGGAGTTAGTTACTTAGGTTCACAGAGGGCTGATGTAAATGTCATTTTGATAACTAACTGCTGGGCTCTGGAAGCAGTTCCCTCTGCACTGTGATGATCTCAGGAGTTTGGAGGGAGTTAAAGAGGTTTCCTTCCAAATGATTCCAGTAGAGCAGAAAGTTACAAAGCAGCCCTGTAAGTTTTGTGCCACTCTCAACTCATCTTTCAGTGATGCTCTCCAAGATGCGAATCAAATTGTCCAATCCCAACAGGTACCCATCCTCCCTATTGCCTTCTTGCCAGGGGATCCTGTGATCCAGTGTCTGCCCATCAGGGAGAAGGGTGGTCTTCCCAAAATCAATCAGCCACACATTCGCATTCCCACTGCCATCGTGTACAAAAAGTAGTGAGCTTCCAACGACCTGGAAGGCAGATTGAGATGATGTGGTTAAAAACACATCTTTATGTCCCCCCTGACACTTACGCTTCCAAGAAGACAACCTCCTCAGGTGACCTTCTCACCCGGGACCCATCAGACTTTGGGACTGCACTGCTTGTACATTGACAATTTGCATGCCCCATTTGCATAACAAAATTGATCAGTAACATAAACAGGCACCTTGGTAGCAAAAAGGACCCAGAAGACAGAGGGGAGAAAAGCAGTTTGCCAGCTCACTTGGCAGCAGATCTCAATTTGAGCGATTCAACAAAAGCCAGTAACTACTTTCAAAGAAAGACCATGACCTATGATTAATAAAATTGCCTCCAGTGACAAGTGGAAATCAGCAAGGTAAAATACAGCATTCCCAGTGGAACACACTGAAATTAGAGAAACCACAGGAAACTGGCACTAATAAACCATTCCCAACTGTGGCACAGAGCTCTAAGTGCTGGGATATTATAAAGTTGGAGGATTTATTATTCCTCAATGGGTTTAGTCTTCTGTATTGTTGTGATGGAGGCTTTGAGGTACCTGTACTGTTAACACAGATTAGTTTTCTTCTACTACAAACTCCTTCCTACTAATGCAGGGGCTATTCTGAAGTACATCTGAATGGTAAAATGAAGCAGCAATGCACCTTAACGGAGCATTACACTCACTGCGCACCTCATGTCGCTTGAAGAAGTCCGAGGATTCAAGAATGATATGAATTTCCTGCAGACGCTTGAGGTATTTTTTCTGGAGGAAGAGGAGAGAAAAATATATAAACAGTTAGGGAGAGAATGAATGAGGATACCCTGCTCATGAGAATCAATATAATGAAGAGATCACGCTAATTTTAGGCTAGGAGTCCTTTAAAACAGAGCCACCATTTGAAAGTCGATCTGAAAATACACTTCAATAGGCTTCCATAGTGAAAGATCAGAAGAGTTCCTCTGCTGCATCAATTACACCAAATGTACTTATCTGTCTTGCTTTGGATGCATGGATACATCACCTGGATGCAGAGCAGACTTTTTTTTAAAAAAAAAAAAAAAAAAGAGAAGTTTCAAGCAATGAAAAATCTTTCAATTTACCATAGTAAGGAGAGAGAAGGAGCTCCAAACATATTGGGGGGGGTGGGGGGAGGGAGGGAATATGAGGGAATATTCAATGCATAAAGCTCTAGCATGCATTATTAATGGTGCCCTGCATTACCAAGCCTGCTGGCTCCTGAGTCTTCCCTCTTAATGACATCTACATCACAGCAAAACACTATGACAACCCTTGAAGTTCTGAAGACAGGAGACACGTTATGCCATCTACAACATGCCTGCTGTGCTTCCCTTGAAAAACCATGAACTCCTGAATACACAAATTGCTCTTTGAGGCAAGCCTCACACATTGGAGCACTGCCAGCCACCACTCTCACTTCCTGTCCCCATGCTCTGTTTTTATCTCTTCTAAACTGAATTCCCAAGTCACGAGCTCTTCTAACGCCCCAATACTTGCTTGGACAGCATTGTCCTTCTGATGTATTTCACACTCAGGGTGGAGACTGGTGGCAAGCCACAAGCTAGCTTTTCTGACTGTCTGGTAGCATGAGGAACCCGAGGTTGGCATGGCAAGAGCTGCCAGGATGGGCCTCAGCCAACCACGTCTCCATGCCCAGTCCATCTGCTGAGAGGGACTAAAAGTCTAATCATTTTCCTCTTCGGTAGTTTAATCCATCTTGCTCATATCAATGGAAGTATGGCCGTCAAGCAAGTTGAATTGATCAAAGATTAGTCAACCTGAAGAGTTCAGACTCACCAGAATAGTTGTGTTGCCCTCAATGAATTCCACAAAAACTTGGAGAACTTGCTCCTGTGTCTTTGTAGTTTTGAAGTTTGTGTTACATGTTCCATCTGCCTTCTGCACAAAAACAAAGAGACAATTTTTACTACACATATCACTGCTCTCATCAGTCAATCCTCTTGAACCATCAGCAGCAAACCTCTCACTAACCAGATGAAAGTAAGTAGTCAAACAGGAAGAGAGAAAATAAAGCAGGTGGAAGAGAAAAGATACAAAAGCTGATTGGACAACATTAAATGGCACTTCATTTCCTGTTGAGTGCAGTTTAAAAAAAAAAAAAGACAAAACCAAACAACTCATGATACTACCAGCCTGCAGGAGGGTTTTCCTCACATCTCAGTAGTAGCAGTAGCAGTGCAAAGTTCAATGGGGCAAACCACAGTGACCTCTTTAGTTGTCTGCTCAGCTAGCTATCTAGCTTGGTGTAGCCAAACCCCGGCTGGGAGGTGCATGGGGACATTTTCAAACCCAGTTTTACTTATTTTTTTTCCTCCTCTATTTAGTTGGGTTTTGTTGTTTTTGTTTTTCAGTGTAGAAACCAAAGAACTGTGGTTAAGACTCGGTTCCTTTGCACATTAATATGACCTAGAAGTCACAAAAATCGAAAGCAGGCTCTAGACAAGAACAACTCAAGATTTGCAATGGAAGCAGTGATACAAATGCTAGAAGCGATGAGGCAGGTGTGTGAATTTTGGCAAAGAACAGTGTGTGAGCATGCCTGTACCTGGCTAGGTCCTGGAAAAATTCAGAGTATTTTTGTGCTAACAGTACAGCTCAATACAGAAGCATCCTGCTACTGAAAAAAGAACCAAGTCTGTGTGTGTGCTGGCAATGGCCAGTTTGTGCTTGTGAGGCTACAAGTACCTAAGAGCAGCACGTGAGTCTGAGACACCTGTCAACACAGACTTTGTGAGTATGCACTTCTCCAAGAACATGCCTTGTGTCGAAAGGCACTAATACAAGCTTTAGGACATGCACGTAAAATACTGTAATTACTGCAGCTGGTAGCCCCTACCCACCAAAAGTCTGCAAAATTATCAAATTATATTATTTTCTGTTGTATCAGTCCAATTAAATCCCCAATAATTCCATAATCACTCATAATCCCTCATAGTTTCCATAATTCCATTATAGGAGTAAATTAATAGGTCATCAAAATACACTCCCTTCTACACATTAAGAGTTGCTGCACCAAAACTAGTTAAATTCAGCTCTGGTCTCAGCAGGTAAAATATTATTTATTCCACAGCAGAACTGGGACCTCTAGTACATATGTTAAAAAAATCCAATAGTACTAAATTTCCTGATTTATCATGCAAAGAATGAACTGCCTGAATGGCAAAGCCATGCAGAACAGCCTCCCACCTACCAGACATTTTAGCAGGAGAATAAACAGAATTTTATTCCAAGGCTGTGGGCCAGATACAAGTGTGGCATGTCAGCCTGATGAGATGTGTAAGTTATGCAAGAGAAGTTCAGCAGGTAGGCAGTACCAGTTAGGAGCCATCTGATCTGATGTACGGTAATACTCAACAGAACATAGAAATTTGGAGGTTAGTCTGATGTCTCGTATCTCTTCTCAAGAGTAAGGTTATTTTAAAAATAATCTCTCTGCATGCCCTAAATCCTAGAGCAAAGTCTGGAAGAGCTGCTGTGGTTTCCCTTCTATTCCTGTATTGTTGTATTGTGTGTGTGTGTTTTTTTTTAAACGGATATACTAGTTGCTTCTTTCCTTGTTGTTTAGAAATACTTTTTCTGTTGCTTTGAGTGGTTGGCAGGAAACATAATCGCTGCCTGTCTTTTCTTTCTGTAAACATAAACCCTGGCTTGGAACTGCACCATCCCTCATATTCTGTATGAGATCCTTGCAACAGCTCGGGGTGTACGTGACCCCCAGGAGGTGCTCGCCCAACTTGCTCCCTGAAGCCTTGCCTTTGTCAGCTCCCACAGGTACATCCCTGCACAGCGGAGCACACTGCTGCACAGCCCAGCTAGGGGCTGCCTGCAGCTCTTCACACCAGATGTGGCAGTGACAAGGCTGGCAGGACAGCAGGTCTGGCTGCTCCGCAGGATATCGCTGCCTATCTTAGCCTGTGCGGTATTGCTCAGATTACTCTGCAGACTTCCCTTAAAGGGCTCTGGGTTAAAGTTGTGACCTAAATGGATTTAACAAAGATTAATGAATCAACTCTGATGTCCTTCTGGGAAAAGGGCTATCCTGGCTGACATCTAAAGGAGTGATACCAAAGGGAGAAGTAATTTCCAAAACTGCACAGAGATTCACTGACAGAATGGGAAGCAAGAACTCCTGCTTCTCAGCCCCATGCATCTCTGCTCCTCAAAATTATTAGTTTACTGTTGTAGAGACAGTGCTTGTGAGACCAAGCCTTCAGGTAGTCCCTTTAAGAGGAAACCTGCATTCTGAATCTCATTTACAGGGAGCCACTTCACGGAAGAGCTTCTGTACTTTTACCTTCTTTGCTTCTGCTTCTTACCCCAGCAGCCACAGGGCAGGAATATTCTTGAACAACCATTCAACGTATCTGCTGACCTAACTCCAGGAATTATCAGTGTACTCAGGGAGAACAGCCCCTTTTTCCCATGAACCAGTCACTGGTATTACAGATCCTTATAGGCTTTCCTTTCAAAATGGGGACGTCCACAGCAGAGCTTTGCTGCTCTGCAAATACACAGAACGGGATGTACAGTTCAGCTCCCGTGAAACAGTGCTGGGAGTACTGACTAGCTGTGTTGCTTGAACAACAACTGTTACCACTTCTCCACGTACAAAAATAGGAGAATGATGCCTACATCCCTCATGACAGCATAGAAAGACAGACAAAAAGTTAATGCACTGGAGTACTCCAAAGCATTTCTTGTGCTTAAAACAGGATTAAGTATTTGTGCCCTGTTTTACACAGTTCCAGCACTGTCTCAACAGAGGGAAATACCATGCAGTCTGTGTGCCAAGTGCTCCTCCCCACCTCTGACAAACAGCCAAATCACAAAGAACAAGACAGGAGGTTTTACTGGAGCTCCCTTATACTCCCTTAGATCAGTCACTCTTCAGAACTCAACATAAATCTCTATGTCTACACTGATCAAAGATCTTCTGAACATATGCAAAAGGTCCTGAGATCATCTGGGTTTCTGATTTCATTACAGAGTGCATCGAAGGGCTGAAGTGGTACAGGATTAAAATAGGTACCATGATACATCATTAGATGGCTAAAGGGTAAGACAGAAAGAGTGTTGGCTGAACTAGAGCCAGATCATCTCCACCCAGACAGTTCCCGCATGAGAATGCCTGTGTCTAACAGTCAGGAGTGGGTGGCACAGCGTACAGGGGGCCAGCACAGCATGAGCTGGAAGCACTAGTTCCTGTATCACAGCAGGAGAATCTGTGAATGAGGAAGGGAAAAGACAACACAGGGAAGCAGAGAAGAAAGGGGTGGTTAAAGAGCCTCTGCTCTGCTCATGAGCCTCACCTTCTTTTAACTCTCTTTTTCCTATGTGCTTGAACAATGAAACAGAAGCAAAACTAATTCAAACATCACTTACTGCATCCAAACATACCTAAGTTAAACATATATGCTGACAGTGGGCACAGCTGTGCTCTGATGACCGTCCTGAAATCACACAGGGTAACCCACGCTAACATCTTCACAGCCATTGCCACGGGCCTCAGCTAGCAAGCATTCATCCAGGGCTGAGGCAGGTTTGGGCAGCCCTCACCCTGCCCTGTGCTGCTACAGGAATCCCGCTATCAGAACCCAAGCACAGGCTAGCCGTGACAGACCCATGCAAGCAGAAGGCACTTGTTACATCCAAGTAACTTTGTGAGGTTGCTGATATTCTAAGTGTAGGTCCTAAGGGCTTCTGGATAGGTACCTGCTATTGCCACAGGGCACAACAAATATAAAGAATTAACAGGTAGGAAAGAACATGGCAAAGGCTCTTCTGTGTCTGTAAGGTAGTATCCTAGGAATGGTCTAGGGACACAAACTCATCCATTAAGAACAGCAGATGAATTTTGTTGATGGATAAATTTTATCTCTGTTTTTTTTTTTTTTTTTCTGGCTTTATTTCAGCCCATCTATACTGGATAATGTCACGTACTTAAAAGTAAAAGGGGTTTCCTCTATCCTAAGAATATCTAGCTAATGTTTTAACATGCCTTGCGAATAAGCATAACTGGAACAAAGCCTCCTTACTGTGATTCACTTGGAATAAATACGCATATTTCTAGACTAACAAAAAATATTACATGAGGAGAGGCAGTTACTTAATCAGTTCTGAATTCTTCCTTACAAGTTTGATTGTCATTGTATATACACTGTGTACCTGCATGGCTTCTTCCTGCAACTTCTCTGTGGTTGAGCCAAGTATGGCTGATACACATTTGATGCTCAACTTCCTTGACACTACTCTGCTACAATTACAATTGATGCTTTAAAGCCACAAAACATTGAACTCTATGGATTCAATTAATGCGTTTTTATGTAATCCTTAGGAAAACCCAGCTACTGATGCACACTCGTGTTTTAATTAATCAACATATCAAAGTTCAGTCACCAAGAACAGGCAAAAGGATAATTATTACCTTAATCCCTTCGATTCTGAAGCCCAGGTTGGCACTAGAGCTGATTGTTTCCCGCCACTGCATGTATCGGGGCTTGGTGACAGCATGCTGGGCATTCTCCTCAGCTGTGGGAGCAAGAGGATCCACTTCAATCATTTTCTTGTACATGTCCTTACGCAGCTTTGGTTTCTCACGGGCTTTAGTCAGCTCCTCTTCCAGGTATGTCCTGCAAAAACATCACATCCCAACAAAGCTGCAATGACTTTCAAACCTTTCTTTTTATAGCTTGTAATAAACTGGCCTCAGGAGAGGTCAGCCAGAGAAGTATTATCATTATCCCAGTTTTTCCTATAAGGAAACTAAAAAGCGTGGACTCACAACTGCACAGGCTTCTTTAGGGAAACCGTAGAGGGCATCCAGATTTGTCACTCACTTCTGTTCCAACTATATCTTTACTTACTGTTACTTGCTATTGTGATGTCCTGCTTACAGAATGAGAGAAAGCTGAAACCTATTCTGTCATGACATACAACTGTATTTTCAGAAGACACTTAAGAGAGATGACTTGCAATGAAATCAAAAGCTAAGAGGCCTGTTAAGTCTTACTGTCTTCTCTCTCCTTGAGAAAAACTTCAGTTACGTGCTATTTTTTCATCAGGCCTCAGAAAGCAATTAAGGTTTGCATGATGTATCAGACAGAAGGACAGAATTGCTCCTCATATAATAAAAGGGAAAGAATAAAGCAGATTATCTATCTGAGGAACTGTAGCTCCAAACACAAAGAAGCAACTAGGGAAGGGAAGGAAACCCTTTAAGGAAACCTTTTAACCTGGCAGCCATTACAAAGGCACTATCCATGTTCTCAGTGTTCACTGGACTCCTAAAGCTTGCCTCTCTTCACAAAGCTTGCACTTTATGAAGTGCCTGGAGTGTGCTTTCTTCACCACGATGTAAAATAAACAGGGTTGTTTAAGAGTTGCTGTCGCCCATTATCTGAATGTCAACTACTTTGAATACAATAATGTACTACTGACAAACCTTTCTCCTCTTTCTTCTGGGTATACCAGCACTACACATTTCTACTCTGATTTAGTAGGCAGCTCACTTAAGGATCTACATCTGTTTGAAAAGGCTTATCTGCACTCCTGTAAGTTGAGTATTTCATTTATCTCACTAACTGAGCATCTGACTTGGCACCCAAAAGATTACTACATGACAATTTCTACCTCTCTGTACTGCTACTTCAGGCTCTCAACAGATTCCTTCTCTATTTGTCATGCTTAGGTAACATTTTTGAGTTTTTCTTCTCAATCATGCATAAGGAAAAAAGAGAAGCTAAGGAAAGTGAGAATCTGGAGAACAAGATGATAGCATCATGCAGATGTGAGAGCAGGGAACAACACAGTCAGTACTGGGCAAATGATAACACCTCTACTGAGAAGATCAGCATGACTGAAGACTCACTCAAGCTTTGGAAATGGGCTCTCTCACTGGTATTCAGTCATTCACATTTGCAGACAGGAATTACTCTTGGTGGCATTTTTTGAGTCACTGCATACACAAAGATTAAATGAACTGGCAGTGAGCAAATGATGTCATTTTTCCCCGTGTATTTTCAGGCCATTTTAGAGAAACCTCATCCAAAATCCCTTTTGAAAATATCTTGATGTGGGTCATTTTTGAGCCTATAGGTCACTCAGTTGCCAGAATCCAGGTACAATCAGGCACCAGTAGGACATGACTCTCCTCAGGTTGTCCAAGCCAATTGCCAAACCAACAGCAGGTTGTCTGGACTGAATTTCAGTGCTCTAAAACAGTTACTAAGCTCCTCCAGACAAAACACAACCACATGACCCCTCCTTTTACTTCCTTCAAATGCATTCAGGTTAGAAAGCAAATTCTCTTTCATGTCTCACCTGATCCCCATCTTACAGTCCATCACACACGGCCCTTCAAAATCAGTAAGTAGGTCATCCAACTGAATGTAGCTCTCTCCATCTCTCTCCACCACCCCATGGAAGCAAGGGACGCAGGAGCGTAGCGGGTCTTTCATCAGCCGCTCAAAACACTCCTTTTCATTCTCTGAGAAGCGTTTGAGAATCTTCCCGCTATCAGCTGCCTTGAAACTTCCTAAAAAGAAAATCAAACACATGCTGAAAAGCCTGACTTGCAAAAGGGAAAAACGCCTTCCCCCACTACTTCTGCCTCATCTACCTCAGCAGCACGACACCAGATAAAGGTTTTCCCTGAACAAAAAAGATAACATGCTTCTCGAAAAATAAAACACTGCGGACAAACACAGCCATTAGCTGTGAAACTGTGAAAGTCCATTTGATTATGTTCCCGTATCAGTATTTATAGCTTTAAGGAGTGCAGCTGCTCCGGGCCATTTTTTTATTCTTCTCCATGCTAAACTCTTTGTTAGGATATCAAACATTGCTATACTCATTAAAATGCACAGGAAAAAGCCACAGGCCAGACTTCACTAATGCTCTGACAGGGTATTTTAAAGCTGCATACCACTGACAGCGTTGGCTTTGTCCTTAATCCTTGCATACGATATACGTGCTGAGTGTGTACGTACAAAAGCGGTGCGGTCAGCGATCATTAAACAGCCTCCAACAGGCCAGAAGCCAAGCAGTGCCCTTTCTACACACACGCTGTGACTGCACATGCGCGTACCCTCAGGCACTGCGTCTGCTCTGGGGAGCCCTGCTAATCTGCAGGTAGAGCCTGCAGTGCAATTGTTTTTACAGCCCTGGGTCCGAATGACATGCAGTACAAAGGACAGAGTCTGCACAGGCCGAGATTGGCAGCAATCACACTCCAGCTACAGAAGGTGCTCTCCTGTCCTGCAGCCTGCCAATAACATCTGAGAAAAGTACTCATTTCATTCAGAGGTACCCTTTATTCTACACGACATAAAATAGGCCCCAAAGTAGGGCCTGATTAAACCTGTGGCTAGCACTGCACTCCTATCACAGCAGGATCCTTCGGCCACTGCAAACTGGTTCCTTGTCAACAAATCCTAGAACTAGCACTGCCTCAGCACAAGGGCTAGGGTGGTGATGGCCCAGGTTTTACTTCAGAAAGAACTTGTCATACCAGAGAACAGCTGCAAAAATGGTGGACTAAATGCAACCACAGAAAACTAACGCAAACCAGAGTGCTCTCTCCTAATCAGATTCTGATAATTTCTTAGCTCTCCTCTTCCACCCTATACAAGCCCCCAGAAGGGTTATGATTATGTGCCCACCGCACCATTCTACAGAGACCGAGCCAACCCCACACACACCGATGGAAACTGCAGTAGGGCTGGGTTGTCTTGGCACTGTGTGCTACACGGTAGTCCCACCAACACCACTGTGCACATGCAGCTACTCCATTTCTAGGACGAAATAAATCTCTCTGCACGGCGTTGCAATGCACCATATTAGTGCATTAGCATATAAAGAGGTGGTTCAGGTACTGCATTAAAGCACGATGCAGCGTAGGTGCCTGCCCACATGTGTACTAATAAACCCCGCACTAGCACTTTAGGAACAAAGGCTACATAGGAATTAAATGAAGCATGAGAGAAGCAAGCCTAATGACTTCTCTTTGGTTTCTTGTTTTTTTTGCATGTGATTTTTTTTTAATCTTAACAATGAAACTAATCTTACATGAGGAGCACACTTGTTAAGTTCCACTGACGCAAAATTAGACTTAGCTGACTGAGCTGCTCCTTGCACGCACACAGTGAATAATGACAAGCCTCACTAGGCAAACACCTGGCCATCAAGTCAGTTGTCACCATATTTATTCTTCTCCCAAGGCCTTACATTCACATGGAAGGTTTGAGGTTGGTACTAGAAACCCTGTCCTTGTCATTGCTGAGGCACAAAAAGGCAAATACAGTGATCCTTCCCGCTAGGGAGCTAACATATCGGCTACTTGGTCAATAAAGATGATCCCATACTACATTCCAGAGTCAAACCCAGTGAGGATATTATATTCATCTCACCTGTATGCCCAGCCAGCTGTACCCATGAGTAGCGTTTCTTGAAGGGGCTGATCACTGGTAAGTTCACCATGGTTTTAATGGTATTCCATGCCTTTTTCTGGAATGCAGAAAAAAGAAATGTTAAATTGGGCAAAATCTGAAATCCTGACATGCCATAAACCTACCACCTAGCTTCACGCACACTGAATTGTTCCTGCATAATTTGCTAAGTGCTCAAAAGCAGAACCACAAAACAAACACTACGATCATCACTGGAAAAATATGCTCATAAAACCAGGAACAGACACATAGTTAAACATACTGTCCTACCATCCACAAGAAAGCTACCTGGAAGAAAAGAAAAAAAAGCACACTATACTGCACGTCACACGCCTGTTCTGAGCCACACCTGACCCTCTCCGTGTCTGAGTCATGCCGAGACCAGACGGCGAACCTACACTTACGCATGTTTAAGTTGCCATGAGACACGAGCAGTTTGCTGCTGTCAGCAATACTTCCTTTCCCAGAGGCCTTCAGCATCCCCTCACGACTAACAGCTTTCACCAAGGCAGCAAGGGAGTCTCACTGTGTCAGATCCATAGTAAACGCATCTCCAATCAGGCTTGGAGCTCACTCAGTTCCTTTGGAGCACTCACTGCCAGGAAGCTGTAGAATCTATTCCAGGTCATAGATTTTGCTGCTCCCTCCCCTCTTACCCAACCCTGTTACTTTTTAACGAAGCTGGGCATAGCTCTGGCCACCTTGGCTGTCCCACAGTGCAGCTGTCTGGGTAGCGCTCCAGGCAGACAGGGAAACAGAACAGCTGCTCCCAAACCGCAGCTGAGTGCTCCATCACAACGGCAGAAAGGTGAAAATAATACAATTGGAAAGTGAAGGAGTCTCATGCTTTGGCAATGAAACTTGGGCAAGTATGAACCACAGCCTGCTAGCGTGTACATTACGTGCTGAAGGACCCCAGAGTGAGTTACGAACAACAAAGGCAGGCTTGTCTGCTAGTGCTAGGACACAGTACCCTGTGGAGCTGATAATGGTGTGCAATAGTTGTGCAAAATAGTTTAGTGCTGAGGTTTTCTGTGCTGAGATCAAGTACAGCTGGAAGTTAGGCTGGATTTACAGAAGTGCTTATCAATGGCCTAAGCAGGCATTATCAAAACCAATGGGAGGCATTGATTTCACTAAAACAGAGTTTAGGTCGCTGCTGAACACCTGAAAAAAAATCACCTACAAAACAAGTATGTCTTCTCTAGCAGGAATATCAACGTGATGAACTAGATGCTTCAAATACCTTATTTTTACTGTATTTTACACTGTGTTTCTGCAGCAGTGAAAGACGTGAAGTGAAATTGCAGGTAAAGAGACACAGGCAAAAGGTTGCTCTCCAGATCACATTTTGACCTGGTCACCCTTCCCCAAATTTGATCAATTACACCAGGTTTCTTATACGGTTACATCTAGCAGTGTTGGTCACCATGTGAGGGTGAAACCCTGTGAGGCCTCGAACACACCAAGAGGATATGTGAACTCACAGATGCAACTGATCTTTCCTTTGGGGATTTATTTTCACGTGAAAGTTTTAAATTATACTGCAATTTGATGTGACATAACAACATAATCTCCATATGGACATGTTTATTCTGAAATAAGATCCTGTTTAACATAGCTTGGTTTTGAAAGCAGTTCAAGCTGAAATCCCTGTTGGTCTGATACAAGTGTCCCATGCAGCAATAGTGCTTTTCTAGACATACCATGCTAGTGAGAGAAAGCAAGAAAAGAAAGCCTTGGATGCTTAAGAATCATGCATCACAGAAGACTTGGTTGCGCTTACTGCAACTCCCCAGACAGCACTAGCTAAACCCTAGTTTAATACATCCCTTCTGCAGCTTTAAAGGGCCCTGCAGGGGATTTCATATTCTGTATTATTTGCCTCAAGCCATTCCAAATTGCTACTGTGCGCTGCTAACCAGCAGCTTAGCTCTATCACAGGGCTACCTGCTACACCGTGAGGATGAAAGCAGCTCTTGCACACCACTTGTAAGTGTCCCTAGCCTCTTTCTGGAAGAAAGAAACATGTCAATATTGTTGTTCAAGTAGAAAAGATTAAAAATGACTTTTGTATAGTCTATTCACCAGATTTAGCTGACAGCAGAAGTCCTTCAGTCCACTCTGCTCTGTTTCTGCTCCAGACAGGCAGGGCCCAAAGTTATTTACAGAACAATTGAAAGTAAACATAATTTGGAGTTGAAGTGATCCCTTTGACTGTAAGTTCTGCCAAAATTTAAGTTTTCAGAGATTCCAGTCTGATTTTCAGGATTGCATTGCTGGCTCCCCACGCCAGGATCAACAGCACTCTATATCCCTCCCGTAAACTCCCGTAAAGATCCTATACTCGCAACAGTGTCCCACTCCTAACATAGCGTATCGTGTCTCCCAATGATTTGCCATGCTGCTCTACCCAGAAGTGATGAGAAGCACAGGTTTTCAAGGAATGCATGTCAGCTGTCAGTGCACCACCACACTCTAGTGGCTTTCCCACCCCCTCCCTCCCACCTAGCCCTCAGAAGCTGCAGATTTTATTTGTACTGTGGGTGTGAAGGAGAGACAATGGGCCAAATTCAACCCCAGCTCAAGTGGAATTTGACTGCTTAGGTTACAGCTGCCTCAGATGAATATGCTTAAGCCACTCACACAATAAAAAAATTAGGAAAAAATTTGTCAGTGTTTTTTTTAATTTATTTATTTATTTTTGAAATCTCTTCCCAAACATTCTTCCCCTAAGACAGGGAAAGTGCAAGGCTCAAGCTAGGATGAAAGAATCACTTCCAGACCCACCCAGTGGAGCACACTGCCATGGACAGAGGTTCAGCAGACGCACTCTGCCCTGCTGCATCTTTCAGTCCCCAACCTCAACCAGCTCAGGATGCAAATTGCCAGGATGCAAACAGGGCTGCATGCTGTTGGAGCACTGGCGTGAGTGGGAAGATGAAAACTTTGTGCGCCTGCTGTGGGAGGAATCTTTCTCACATCTATTTCTAAAGCAAGATCTTTTCCTCTTTGTTAGCAGTGGTATTATGTGCTTTTCAAATCACTGCTTCATGCTACCATGGCAAATAGGACTAATGCCATTGCTCGTGTGTATTTGCAGTCCAGATTTCCCTCAGGCCCCCTTTCTCCTAGACTCTTGCTCCGTCTTCCTCAGTCTTTTACTCTCACTGGGTTTCTCTCAGCCCTTTCTTCCAGATTCCCATTCAGTGTTTTATGCTATTTATACGCATACAGGGCAAGTTCAGATATCTCTGTATTAAAATTGCCAGAATCAGACATCGCTGACATCACTGATGCTGTTTTATATGCCTCTTAAGATCAATAGACTCAAGAATTTTCCAATAGCAAAAAGAAAGCCACTCCAGAAGGCAAACCCGAGAAACATTAACATTGGTAGATTAAGCGCATAAATTACTGGATGTGAACTGCAGCTGACACATTACGTGTATCTATCTCCCTGAGAACTAGGAGGTGTGGGATGCCGAAGACGACAAAAGCCAGCTTTCTGCCAAGGGGTGTGTGACAGGCTGTGCCGCTAGAGCAGCGTCTAGGCAGCGAAAGAGTAAAAACCCAGTGGAACAGAATGGAAGAACTAGTTCCTGCAGCAGAGCCACAAGGCATTCAGAGGATTGCGGCTTGGAATCTGCCACTAGTATGTTATCAGGATTACTCTTTTGAATTTGAAGCAGAGCACTGAAGAAAATTGTATTTCCATGCAGCGGGTGTGGTAGACATGGTGTTGCATGTTACTGACATGCATGAACAAGATGCTGGGCAAATGCAGTGTCTCCAGCTTATTCAACCCTCAGTACAGGTAGGGGTTGCCATGATGGTTATCCTACTAAGGAGCAGGAAAGATGAGCAGCAACTGAGAGCCACTGGTTCCTGGGTGTGCAGCCTCCTCCAGGTCTGTTCTCATGATGAGAGCACAACTTCCTATGCTACTGGCATGCAGAAGCATGATCCTGCCTCGATGCACCAGTAGGACACGGCTGAGCAAAACCCACTGCACTCGCCAGGAGCACTTTCTTCTGCTCTGGGGGGTTTTGGCTCAGCCCTCACTGTGCACAAGAATTAATCTTCCTGAAACCCTCACACTATTTCAGGACAAGGGCTATAGCATCCTAACAGTCAAACTCGTGAATAGGCATTTGGAGACCACTGAGGGTATTCCCGATTTTGTGTGGTTTTGTTCTTAGTTGTTGCTGTTCTTAGGGCTGCATAGAACAACTGAAATCTCTCACTGAGCATATACTACATCCCCCAGGGAGAAGAGATCTACTCTCATGCCTCAGGGCAACAGGAGACAGGACCTGAACCTTCCTCCGTTGTTTGAGAAAAAAATAGAGAGAAAAGTAAAAATAAAAATAAAGAAAAATTATTTTTATATAAAAATAAAGAAAACTTGAGAGAAAAATAAAATCTCTCCCTTAACTAAAAGGAAAAACAGAAACAAAGATCTCAGTTTCGTGAACAAATAATACACCTAACTACCCTGAGGCAAGCACTGACAAGCAGGTAACGTAATTTAGGAATCTGCAGAACAGAGTCCAAATTAAGCAACTAAAATTATTACAAATGCCAAGTACATCTAAACAAGTTGGGGGGGATGGGAGAGGGGTAACAAAACCTTTTTCTTCAGGGGGAAAAAAGAACGGTCAGTTCTAATAATACTAGCACGTATACTTGAAACTATATTGAGTTAAGACAAAAGTATACCTAAATAACAAGTTATTAATGCCCGAAAAAAGTTAATTTTTCCCTTATCAGCATTGTGGAAGGGTAGTTTCTTGCCTGCACCATTGAATTCTCATGAAAATTCTGCTATACAATAGTTAACAGTGACCCCTGGATCCTTTTTCCAGGACAATTTCAGTAGTTTCTTTATCCAAGATTCTGTTGTCTTTTATCTCTGTGCTAGTACAAAGCCTACGCAAGACTACAGAGAGCTATTATGACAGGAAGAAACAAAAGGATAGTGAGAAATTTGTAATTTTTTTTTCCTTAAAAGGCTTTAAAGAAAGAATACTTAATTGTCAGTCATCATAATCTACT